TAATGCAATGAGCTATGATTTCCCAAGACAACCAGTGCAGTTTTCTGCTGATAAAATCAATTGTTAATTAGTAAAACAAGTAAAACAAAGTATTTTAGTAAAACAAAGTATTTTATTTATTAGCAGTGCAATCAATTCATATGATATAATTATAAGAATATAATAGTATGTCACACCTATTTAACTGTTACGTTCAAGTAGTCGTGCCATAGCTAAATTTAACTAGGACCAGTGGTGTCGATTAACATTTAAAAGGTGATTTTAAGTGACACAAATGGAAAATTTTAAGAAAAGACGGATCAAAACACAGATCCAAGGACAAGGAGACCCCACTGCAGGACCATACATGCTATTGGCTTGTGCATGGCCCAAAAGGTTCCAGTTGTCCAGGAAACTGTACGTAGCTGGTCAACTAGTTTTGAATTCAGACTAGGCTTGATGAGTTCTGGGGTTTCCAGAGGTAAGATTTGATGGTGCCAGGTTTGTTCAGGCGGACATGGAAATTATGCGAGGAATATATAGGTATATAAAAATCATATCAATATAAAAATAGATCCAAAAATAGATCCAAAGATTCACACGGCAGTCAGGGAACTTCCAGACAGGATGCTTTTGAAACAGGTATAATTAGCGCTTTTGTAATTAGTTGTTTGCAAGGGATGGGATGCTGATTCAAAAAACAATGATGCAGATGGTGTGACAAATACCAATGACAATGCCTTTATTAGATCAAAACATGATGATACATAAGATCATCACAAATATTCATAAAAATATCTCAATAATTTAAACTTTTTAAAATATTTATTAAAATAAATAACTTTAACAAATTATACTCAAACGACCTAGTTCAGGAAAATAAACTTCTCCTTTGCTAAATAGGAATGAAGCCACAGCCCGGCCCACAGATAATCATTATGTTTACTCTTTTTCTTCATTTAATTATCTCCTTTAATTCTACTTATCAAATCATCAGACACTTTCCAGTGATGATGATCACAATAAATTCCTTTTTTAATACAGTCTTTTTAAAAATATTCTAGATTTATCTTAAAATTATTACTCTAGAAGAGTTGTTAACATCCACTGGTAGGGTATTCCAATATACCCTACCATTAGACTGGCATATTATTTATAAGAACCACATTTAAATGTTGGATGACAATTGTTTGAGATGCTTGTAATCATACTGTTGAAATACCTTTAGAACGACAAATTTAGTCTTCCATAAATTTAGTCAAACTTTTGACTAAAATTGTTGTAAACCAAATTTCATGTGACTAAATTTTTCGGCAACTAATTTTGAAGTAGACCAAGATTTTAGTAGAGCATATATATGAATTTTGAGGAACAGTAGTATGCGGGTTGGTTATCATCATTTCATGATTTCTATACGAACAACAGATTCACTAAAACAGTGAGACACCAAAATGTAGAACTATCACTTGTTACACCTAATGTCGAATATGACTTAATCACAGCTCGGAGATATTATCTCATCCAAAACCAGAACCGAGATAACATCAAAATCACAGCCATGAAACATTTTCAAGGACATCCGGTCCTAGCTGGAACAGTTACTTTTCAAACAATTTGACCTTGCTCTAAATTTTGGACTGCTATCCCTCATTCTGCAAGTCCCCACTGTTCTGCAAGGGTGAGCTATAACAATGATGCCATTGCCAATAAATCTACACTTTGTTAATATATTATGAACAGGGGTTAGTGCCTCACATTCCAAAGGGTATAGTGCCTCACATAACACAGTGTATTTGTTGAGCTCAAAGGGGGAAAACTATTGCAATTTGAAGTCTTTCCAGCAAGTGCTGTTCAGTTTCTTGGAATTGTAACGCTACAGCTATTGCAACCTTATTCCGGTGTTCGCCAAGACAAACGAAACCACCAGCTTAGCTTAACATGTGTTTGGTTTTTTTTAATTATGACAGTTATTTTCATTTACATAATCTACTATTTGACGTTTTTCATAATATATTCTTCCATAGTATTTCTACGAATTAATGGAAACTCTAAAAAAAAGCTTTTTCTGGTCTCAAATAGGGCTTCCATTATTTATAGATAGAATTTCTGTGTTATTTTGATTAGCCTGCTAATCAAAATATACAAAACAAAAACCATTTCTTGATATAATAGATAAACAATCAATTATTACACATCTGTATACAAAGTGATTATTAAATCGCTAACAAATATTGAATCGTTTAGACATCCTAACCAGTATAACCTGCACAATATAATTCCTATATTATAATAATAATTATTTACAATGTACATGTGGCTAACAGCTCCCTATCGAAAATGAGGCTACAGATTCGAAATTATTGTGCTCACGCTATATGATGTGTAACAAAGAAACTGTTCAACTTTTCTGAATGATCTTGTTTATTTCAAATTGCGTTATAATGTTTAACTTGGAACTGGTTGTCAAACATATTTACAACAGATAGTGTAATAAAATTCTGATAATAAGTGTAACTTTCACTATAAAACTTGTATCAATGGTGCTCGACATATTTGATTGTCTTATAGATTTTGGAGATTGCTCCCCACTAAGGTCACTCAACATGTCCTCCTCAGTCACATCCCTTGCTCTAGGAAAATCATTGTTTAACATGATGGGGTTAGGTATCCTCATGTTCTGGATAAGACCTGGATACGGATACCACCAATCCTCAGGTTTACTGTAATTCCATGTGTTGTAGTCCGTGCTGTACTTATTGTAGAACTTGTCCATGACATTTGGGCTAACGTTTTTTATAAGTTTGTTGGCTTCTTCTGTTAAGTAAGTAAGGTCTCTTACAGTGGTAAAGCTTGATTTTGGAGTTTTGAGGTCAAGTATTTTATTTGCCACCGCCATCCGTTGCATAGTCAGTATCTCAAATATACCATCTAGTGTGTAATCTATAATACAAGGCTGAATAATGTTGTATTGAACTCCAAAATGAAGTTCTGCCGACGATCCATGTACAATCCACATTATGTACTGCTGGAAAGTTATGTTTTTCAGATTCTTTAAGTTGAGACCGTTTATAGCAACTAACTCTTTCAGTGCTTTACCATTAAGATAGTTTCTAGCAAACTTCAAATCTATGAAGTAGTAATAGTAACCGCTTATCACCCGATCAAGTGGATTCCTCACAAAGTAAAACTTGAAAAGATCCTTTGAACTTTCCAGGTATTTCTTTCCGTCTTCAGTCCTAAAGAAGGGAGCCACTTTGATCAAGTTGTCCACTCCACCATCCCTTTCATTAACTTCAACCATCAGTTTAGACCACTTATTACCAAAAGCACCTTCAACAGCAGTGTACATAAAATTCCTCTGCTTGTCCAAAGCAATGCTGTTCAATGAAACTGCTGGCAGTAATTCTAAGTGCCCTGAAACTGAGCGACCCCCGTATTTCCGCCTGCACTGGTCCTTGATATGAGCTGATATCCTGAACCTGTACTCAGGTGTAGAGATCTTGGTGAGGCAATCTTCGTGGGGTGTAAGTGGTAGAGGGACGCTGATGTACACATCTTGTGGTATAAAGTGCAGCAAGGTGTCCGGAGTGTAGAGTAGCTCGCAGTTGGTGCAGTACATTATGTATAAGAGTTTCAGGCAGCAGAGTATGACGAGTGATAGGGAAAGGTTTTGTACTTGGAATGAAACGGTGCTCATTTTCTTGTCAGCTAGTTTCATCCTTGTAAGAAATTAACTTGCGTGAAAACTCTTATAATGTGTTATAAGTTATATTTAAGTTATATTAAGTTATCAGCTGATGTAATAAAAACGGTTCTGTCGAAGGGTCCGAATATTTAGACTAACACAAACACCAAAAGATAAACGCTAACAAAACATAATTATTGCAGAGCTGAAATGTGTGTACCACGTGTTTTGCTTTGTCTGTCCCCCATGGGAAAAGTGCTGACTAACAATTCACACCCACCACTGCTCTGTACAGTGTACACTCATGCTAGCCACGTCATATAATGTAATGTTAATAAGGTGTTTCATCTTAATTTGACTAATTTCCCCTCATGCACCAGGTGAAATAACTAATTATGTTAGTGCTTGTAGTTTTTACTAGTATTAATCTGTTTAAGTTACTAATGCTCTTATTACTATGCGTGCGTGACGTTTTTTATTTTTTATAAAGTCATGTTAGCCTTTGTTGATCGAGAATATTTAATGAAATATGTTATACACATTTTATAATTCCATGTGGCATGGGCCATGGCTAATAAACAATTGTCCGATCGTAAGCCCTTGAATTGCGGGGTTTTAGAATAATATTGACTATTAATATTGTTATAACTTTGTAATGTGGGATCGTTTACATAACAATATGTAAACATAATATTATTACATAATACCCGGGGAAGATTTCGTTAAAAGATTAATTTATAGTATAGATAATATAATGAAGTGTAATATGTGCTAACGGGTGGATGGTAAAAAAAGGCTTCCAGATTTTACGTAATATGTTAACATTTCCTAACACGATTTTGTGACGGGGACATATTTGAATGTTTTTTAAAGTCAACCTTAGATTAACAGCTGTGAAATGCTGTATATCCTCAACCTTAGATTTAACAGCTGTGAAATGCTGTATATCCTCAATCTTCCTTGTAATTGATTAACCAGCTCTAGGTATGTTTGGTATTCGATTTTCCGGCAATAACAGGTTTCACGGGTAAAACGTTATGTAGTTTTGCCAGGCTTCTTGTTTTACCATACAATTCGACAAGATACTCGCCAACCGTATTTTACAATTCTCTCAAATCTTAAGAGGCAAATTGTAATGTTGCAATGATAAATTCCTGTTTGACCTGCTAGTATCTTATATCATCTTACTTTAAATGACAACAAGATAACTATAAAACCTGTTATGTAGGATAACTATAAAACCTGTTGTGTAGGATAACTATAAAACCTGTTGTGTAGGATAACTATAAAACCTGTTGTGTAGGATAACTATAAAACCTGTTGTGTAGGATAACTAATAACTATAAAACCTGTTGTGTAGGATGTTATTGTTCCCTGATCAAGGTTGACTCCTAATCTGATATGAACTCTTTGATGGGCCACGGCCCGCACAGTAAGTATTAACATAACCTAAAATACTTTTTTAAAGTATGAAATATTTAGACTTAGTTTTGTGGATAGAACATAAAATGCTTTTATTTGCACGATCATAATATTTAAACGCTCTTAATTCTGAGCTTAATGATTCCCAAAATATTATTATCCGTTCTTCGAAGAATTATGCAAATGATTTATATCGATTGTTCAAATTACAAATTTCTTTGGTAAAATGGAGACCGACACTAACATCTTTCTCAGTGAGCGGAGGTCAAAATAAGCAGACTCCTTTTCAGACACCTTCTTTGCCAACAGCTTCTCTAAGACAAAGTGATTACGGCTATTTGAATAGTGTTTTAACAGTTAACATGTTTTTAACATGCATTTAACATGTATTTTTAGTATGTATTTAACATGTGTTTTTAACATGCATTTAACATTGTGTGTGTTTTAAGAGTTCTCTCCTATTGAATATTGATTTTAACTTTTTAAAGAAATTGCAGTTAATACGAAAATCAAGCTCCTACCATACACTGTGTATATTAATTTTCTTATCAAAACTGCGAATGAGTAAAAAGTCACATCTTCGAGTCCCACTGATTACGTAATATGCAAATGATCCTATAGAAAACCGCGTTTCTTGGTATTTAGTGTATGCTAGTCAAGCTCTAGTCACGAAGCACGAACGGCAGGGCGTACCGTAAGGTAGAAATGAAACGAGTAACTAAAAAGGATCTAATTAAATATAAAGGAAAAGTAATACAAAGTGAACGTCAACAGATAAAAACTTCCAAGTGTTCGCTCCAATCAATTGATGTGACTAATCACAAATGGTAGTGCTCAGTAAGACTGGCTACCGTCAATTTGAATCCCTTAAAACGATTAAGGGGCAACTAAGAAGTGAGCTCTCCACTTCCTTTCCTCCGGGTATACTCTCAAAACTCGTCACGCCACACTGCGTGACGGCACAACGCATTTGCTTGTACCACGTGACACGCCGTCTCGCCAATGAGCACTCCACTAGCAGTCACCCTGCGTCCGCGAGGACCAACCACAGGTCTGGCTGTTAGTCAGGTGCAAAGTGAGCGGACGGCTCGTTTCAGACAGTTAGTCTGACAGTAGGTCTGCCAGCCAACCGACTTACACTCAAAATGTGTAACTCCCAAATACGAATATATAAAACATTGGTTATTATATACCCGGAAATACATACTAAATTATACGTCCCTTAAACGTTATTCTAAAACTAAGATATCCTAAAAGATATCTCTAAATACCATATTACAACAATCCCTTGTTCCGATTTTATAATTTAATTTCCCAGATCCACCGGGAATGATGGCTCCGGGCCAGGGTGGACAAATGATGCCCTCATCTGGGGGTAAAAGGAAGGAGATTTACAAATACGATGCGCCCTTCACACTCTACGCTATGAGCTGGAGCAACCGTCCTGATAAGAAGTATAGACTTGCGCTGGGCAGTTTCATAGAGGAGTACAGCAATAAGGTACTTTCAGGGCAACATGAGATTAAGGGCTCTCAATATTCTGTCTCTTAATTTAAAACTGTTCTTTTTATATTAATTTTATAAATCAATCGGAACTAATTACCACGACCATACTGCTAAAATAGTTAAATACACAAATTTATTCGCCAGTTTGATAATCGAGGAATATTTTTACAGGTTCAGATAATTCAGCTAACTGACGAAGAAAACGGCGAGTTTAAAGTGAAGGGTAGTTTTGACCACCCCTACCCTACTACTAAAATACTGTGGATCCCAGATACGGTAATTACTTATTCCGTAATATTTATAAACGGATGTTATCTAGGTCATCAATAGCATGGGTTTCGATTTTTGTCATAATATTATTATGAATACAATATGAAAACATCATGCATAGTAAGCACTGCATACTGTATGTCTTTTTAGTTTACTATTTTATTCGAAAGTAAACGAAACACTCAAACTACCATATGTTAGCATGTTATGTAAGAACCAACTGTTTGTCTCTAAAAAGTCTCGGGTACCATGAGTTCATGATTTGATTTGACCACAATATGTTCTTCTATTCGAATTGTTTTATAACCTGGGAATATCTGCAGAAAGGAGTGTGTCCAGATCTGTTAGCGACCAGCGGCGATTATCTCAGAATATGGAAAGTCAGCGAAAATTCAGGGGAAGTCAAACTGGAATCTTTACTCAACAATGTAAGCGCTTTGTAATTTCATCGCAGTTTAATTTTCCTTCATGTGCATAAAAAAGGTTACTTCCGTGTTGAATTGATTTGGATGATATGAGCACATACGTTCCGGTAGATTAGCTTAACAAAGTAACAACCTGCCCTTCTTCCAGAACAAGAACTCAGATTTCTGTGCACCATTGACGTCATTCGACTGGAACGAGTTAGATCCTAATCTAGTTGGCACCTCCAGCATTGATACAACATGCACTATTTGGGGCTTAGAGGTAATGAATTTGTTTTTGTTATTTCAATTAGCATCTACTCCAACGAGCTGCTACAGTTTTACAGAGCTATCGCTAGTTTTAGCTGAGGATTTATGTACAAGATAGGTCATGGCTGTTCAGTTTGGCGCGCGATCAATGCGCGCGCACTTACTTTAAACTTATCGGTTACAAACAATATCTTCACATCCGTCATCAGTAGACCTTTTACGTCATGAATCCCGCGAACTTATATCCGCACTACCATATAAGGAGTTATTGACATTCCTTGATTTCCCGCTTCAGACAGGACAAGCGATAGGAAGGATAGACAACAACAGCGTAACAGGAATGGTCAGGACGCAACTGATAGCTCATGATAAAGAGGTGTTTGACATCGCGTTCAGCAGGGCTGGCGGGGGTAGAGATATTTTCGCGAGTGTCGGGGCTGACGGCAGTGTTCGGATGTTTGACCTCAGGTACATGACTTCGTGAGGTGTAACATTTTGCAAGTAAACATAAAAATTAACCAGTTTATTCTTAACAATGTTAGAAATGGTGGGCATCCTGAACGGTTCAATAACAATATATCCCATTAGGCACCTTGAACACAGCACTATTATATACGAGGATGCACAGCAACAACCACTTCTCAGACTCTGTTGGAACAAACAAGATCCTAATTACCTAGCCACCATGGCCACCGACGGACTAGAGGTTCGGTAACAAATATCGAAACGGAATTTGTAGTTCCTTCCTTAAACTATCCGCGAAATGACTACAAATCACTGTCTACAAATCCATGTAGTGAAAGTGATTGCTTGTATTTCTAAAAACGTCTCTCTTAGGTTATAATCCTGGATGTCCGAGTACCCTGCACTCCGGTAGCTACTCTCAAGAACCACACAGCTTGTGTTAACGGAATCGCCTGGGCTCCTCACTCTTCCTGTCACATCTGTTCTGCTGGTAGGGGCAAGATTTCCTTATTTTCCGTTTTCTTGCAATGTGGTCCACTTCAATAATTCCCTTATTTTCCTGCCCCATTATTTTCTGATATGTTGGGTATGACACTTCGGCGGTGGACGGTTCGGCAAAGGTTGATAGGGTGGAACTTTGCCAAATCCCAAAAGGTTGGATAGTACGGCGGAATTACATATCAATAATAAAAAGGATATCCATTGAAGGTGCCATAAGAATGAGCAATCAGAATGAATCAAATTCGATTCAATCTACTCAAATATTAATCTGAGTCCCATGTCATTCCACCGTAGTCCAGCCTTTTTGAAAATTTTTTTTTTTTTTTTTTTTTTTTTTTTTTTTTTTTTTTAAATAAAATGCAACCTACTAAAACCAATGGAGCCCTCCTCGGGGTCATTCCTCTCGCATTTGCGAAAGTCGTCCCAAAGGTGTAAAAGGAGGTCAGGATTTGTTACCGCCAAGCTCTTACATCGCTAATTGTTGACCATCGGCCTTCACTGAAGGTAAGTTTTTTAGAGTGGAGGCCAACCGTCAGCATGGGATGCAGGGCCAAGCGGGAAACAACGTCAAGGCCCCTTTCTACTTAGGCCATGTTGGTTTTGGCAGATACTGTGGTAAAAAATATGAAGTGAATGAGTGAAATGAATTGAGTGAAAAGGGTGTAAGAGAGGAGGCTGTAGGAGCTTGTAAGAAATTTAGGAAAGGAAGGAAGCAGGGCATGTACTACAAAAGACAGCTACTAGTAGTACTGTAAGATTATAACAATAACCGGTAAAAATTAAATAACATAGACAGCAATAAAAATGGAGTGGACAAATTACCCTAGACCCTAATCGGCCAAGATCGATACAATAGAACTTTTGTGACCTATTTTATCTCCTGTAAGCGAAAGCTTAAGAAGTTTGATATACCCCTGCCAGATCGGCAAGTCTCCTGCCTGGAATTTTTTGCTAATGTACCATTTCGCAACGATATTAAAATAATTTATAATTTGTGAAGTGTGATTACAGACTATAAAATTAATTTTAGTGGGATCTTCGTAATTTCTATCGATTTTCCTTTTAATAAAGTCTTCAAGTATTGTGATGAAGCTATTTGTGTGAATACAATGGAGGTAAATATGAGGAATAGTTTCTAAATATGTTTTACACAGGCTACACATGGGAGTATCTGTAACGATTTTCATCTTATGTCTCATGTATCTACACGTTGTGATCCTCATTAAAAGTTTGTACTGAAATTGAATCAACTTAAAGTTTTTAGATACTAAGAGAAACAGGTTGCTTAGAACGACTGCCCAATCGATGGAATGACTGTTCAAGTCGATAACCCATTGACGTAAAGGAGTCAGCTCGTTTGGGCAAATAGAATCGTACATTTTATCCCGAATTTTGCTTCCCTTCACCTGCCCAGTTGCAGAATGTAAAAATTGAAGTTTTATATTCGGGTCAACAAATTCGATATTCCTTGAGTTAATCGTGGGACAGTTATATCTCCGTATCCCCATGATAATGTTACAGTAGTCAATTTTGGAAATCGTATTCGGAGACAGCTCCCACTTGTTCATGAACATATCGTAGTTAAGGAGTGTACTTTGATCTATAGAAAGGAAATCTGAGATGTAAAATATTCCCTTATCAATAAGATGGTTGTTCCAAAGTTTGGCCCCGATGTCGGTTATTGCTGGGTTGGACCACACACAGTGATCAATAGAACCCAAGGCTGCATTAGCCGAACTAATCTTCCACTCAGTGTAGCAATTAAGTACGTCCTGTGTAAAATTACAGTTGATATTAGCGAGACCGTTTTCTACAGAGATGGTGATGTGCTCGGGAAATTTCAGTTGCATTATCATAATATCTTTCCAAGTGTGGTGAAAGGAATCATTTAGTAGCTTTGAAATAAGACTAGTTTTAAGACCTATGATAAAATCGGATAAATAAAATAGTCCCAGGCCTCCATGTTCCTTGTTTCGGGTTATGATTTCACGTTTTATTTTATCCCGTTTGCAACCCCAAAGAAAATGGAATATAATCGTGTCAAAAGTTCTGATAAAGGAAGCATCTGGTCTGGGGAGAGGAGGAACCAGGTATGTTAATTGGGAAAAGAGGAGAGTTTTGATAACTGTACATTTACCCATTACCGTCAGATCCCTCTTGTTCCACCTGTTAATCCAAGACCGAACCTTAATCAATTTATCATTATAATTACTGTTGACTATATCCATAAGTGAGCCATCATTCCTATAAACTATACCCAAAGCCGTAAAGTTATTTGTAATAAAATCCTCGCCGTAGTCCCTTTGAAGGGACTCTAGAAGAGTTCTATTAAGGCGAGCACGACCTAAAGGAATACATCTAGTTTTGTCGATGTTAGCTTTACACCCCGAGCACTTAGCAAACGTTCTGAGTTCTACCATAACCGCCTCTATACTCTCTAATGAAGCTTTCAGAAACAGATCAGTGTCGTCTGCAAAGAGACTATGTAGAATTTCCACACCCGATATGTTAATACCCCTGATATTAGGGTTGATCTGAAGTTTATTCGAGAAAGTTTGAGCCACAAGTAGAAATAGAATAGGAGAGAGTGGGCTACCCTGATGAAGACCTCTGAGGAGATAAATAGGTGCGCTTAAAAACCCATTAATATTTGCATAGCTAAAGCACGCCTGAAAAGCCACTTTAATCAACTTAATAATATAATCACTGAAACCTAATTTTTCAAGCGTACTGAAGACAAAGTTATGTTCTACCGAGTCAAAACACTTTTCAAAATCAATCTGTAAAAGGAGACCCTCTTGTTCCGAGTCGTTGTTAAATGATTCCAGAACCATTGACATAAGAATAAGATTATCTGCTGTACTCCTGCCTGCTTGAAAGCCTGACTGGGTTTTGCTGATTACGCTAGGGATAGCCTTCATAATCCTATTCTTAGCTATATGTGTGAAGATTTTATAGTCAATGTTTAGCAGAGTAATAGGTCTCCAATTTTTTATGTAGTTAAGTTCCACTGGGCTTTTAGGCTTGGGAATAAGAGTAAGAATACCTATTCTCTGTGAAGGCGACAGGCATCCACTGTCAATAGATTCTAAATAGCAGTCGTAAATGATCTGCCTGATATCCAACCAAAAGGTTTTATAAAATTCAGCAGATAACCCGTCCCAACCTGGGGATTTATTGTTTGTTAACTTGTTCACAATAGCATCCATTTCGTGTAACGAAATAGGTCCCTCCAGAGTTTCAGTAATTTCCTGTGGGATTTGCTCAAGCTCGCTGCTGGTTACATAATTATCTATCTCAGTGGGAGATGGGTTAGTTGAGTTATACAGATTCTGATAAAAGTTAACCACGTGACTAGAGATGTTGTCCTGGTCCGTTAGTTCATTTCCGTCGTTGTCTATCAATTTACTAATACATTTTTTCTTGCCGTTTGATTTTTCAAGTCCAAAAAAGTATTTAGTCGAGCGCTCCCCCTCCTCTGTCCATTTCACACGTGATCTGGTAATTGCGCCTCTCACCTCCTGATCTATAATATGATTTAAATCCAACTCTGCTTCAAATAATTTCTTCTGTAGTATCGTACAGTTTACTAGGTTCGAATCTTTTTTACAGTCTTCAATATCTTTTTTTAACTTTTCTTTTTTCACTGTGATTTCTTTTTTTTTTCTTTTTACCAAAGGTCATTCCAAACTGTTTTATTTTGATTTTTATAACGTCCCAAAGACCCCTGTAAGAATCAAAGCTATCTTCTTTTGTATTATGAATGATTTTCTTTATTTCGTTAATAAAATTTTGATCTAGGAGGTGAGAGTTGTTGATTTTCCAATATCCTTTTCCGTGTGCAATAGTAGAGCCCTGGAGGGATAGCGAGATGTAGCTGTGATCAGATTTATAGCCATGGCTTATTTCTGTGTCACATACAGGTAGATTGACTAGGCTATCTTGGATCAAGAAAAAATCTAATCTAGACTGAGTTTTGTACTTTTTGTTAAAATGAGTAAAAACCCGTGCCTCAGCACCTCTGTTAAGACGGAAAATATCACTAAACCCATAGTCGCTAATGCAATCATTGAGAAAATTCTGGCAGCGACTATTTGCATGGGTGGTAGACCCCCCCTGTTTGTCCAACATGTTGTTCAGAACCGTGTTCCAGTCTCCCACAAATATTATATGATCATCTCGTGCACGACTGAGTGATTCTAAAAATACGTTTTCGAGAAATGACACATCGTCATTATTGGGGCAGTAGACATTCACTAAACACAGCTTGAGAGAGTCGTACTCTAACTCGACAAGGGTCGCACGACCTTGGCTGATGCTACGCTGGTTAATAATATGGAGATTCGGAGCATCAGCTTTAACAAGGAAGGCAATACCGGTTGAGTTTGACGTACCATGGTTAAAGATTATATCCCCATCCCAAGAATGTTTCCAGTCTCTCTCAACTTGAGGAGTCGAGTGTGTTTCTTGAAGACAAATAATTTGCTCAGGTTTATTATTCAGCCAGTTTAAAACAAGATTACGTTTAATCGGGTTACCCATGCCATTGCAATTAAAAGAACCGATTTTTGGGCATGCCAACCCACTATTGCTGTTATTTTGCGGAGTCATTGTTAATCTGAAAATGGCCCCGCCCTTCCTTAGTGTAGCTTTTTACCCCCCCTGAATTAAACCCCAGAAATGAGGGTGATGGTGTCGTGAAAAAATGAGTATATACAATGGAAATAACACAAAAAACATGCACACACGAAAAATTTTTGAAAATTTCTGACGTACCGTCCTTCGGCATAGTGTCCGGTCCTTTATCATCTTGTCCCTTTATTTTACTCAATTAGCTCATTTTAAAGCTGCTTTTTCACCCGATGATAACCGCTGAAAACCGTTCCAGCAGATGACCAGCAGGCGTTAATCTGGGACATACAGCAGATGCCTCGACCCATTGACGACCCCATCCTGGCTTACCGAGCTGACGGAGAGATCAATCAGGTTAGAATTTATAGAATCTGAGCAGTTTTAACTTTTAACTCACATTTGCTCGTCAACCACGTGGATCATGATATATAATATACACATAACACATACAGGTCACAATTTGATCAAGTTTGTAGTTTAACTGTTGACATTTCCCTGTGATTTACCTAAAAATAACTTTAATGTTGTTTACTTTTTGCGATATATTGAACGACTTGCGTATTTCTAACTGGGAAACTCCAGGTGCAATGGGCAGCAGGTCAGCCAGACTGGATAGCTATTTGTTACAACCAATCCATGGAGATCCTCAGAGTATAGAACCCTCCTCATGATCAGACATTCCACAATTTTCCTGATCGTTGAAAAAAGTGCAATGCAGAGCAACTAACAGCTACTTGAGCTGAGATTCTGAAGGATTTTGTCAGCTGTGACTCGGATCAAGTTAATTCGACCGCAAAGTTTTGTAACTGCCACTTTTGAACAACGCTTCTACTATAACCGCGGAGACACGGTCAGCCACTTGCTCTTTTACCAACATGACATGTCAGGGGAACTCGGGAGGTCTCCGTATTTTCACCATTCAGCTCGCTCTCACCCTTGTTAAACTTAACATATTAGGTGTTACTTTTGGGACAGAAGTGGTTGAAAGTAGATTAAAATTTCAAGTGCATTTTTGATACCCTGGTACAGTCAGCTACCTTTTTTTATGTGCCTCTTTTATACGCGGTTTTTGATACCAAAGTCGTTTCTCACAAGTCACAAAGCCTATATCAGTTATGGCATTTTAAATGGCGGATGAATTGATAAAACCGAAATGTGTAGAAATAGCTCAGTTATTTCAAGGCACCTCATTTTAACGATTTGAAAAGCTCATTTTAATGGCACTCATCAGTGTAATGTTATATGCGGATTGCGAACCTACGTAACACGCAGTTTTTCGGTCGATTTTTGATACCTCGCGTATATAATAGATATAACTGACTGTACTATTTTCATAGTTTCCTTAACCAGTTGATGTTATATTTAGTCCAAGTTGACTCCTAGGGGAATTCCTGGGATTTTTAATTGTTTTTATTATTTAAAACCCAGAATATGATTTTGCTAGTACATTTTTGGGCGTATTGGATTGGATTTTCATGCCATTTAATCATTTATTTACACCTTAACTTTAAACATCAAGTTTCCTGAATAACTTGATTTATCGACGAAATCAATCCAGCCGGCAGGGTCGTGAGGTATCATATTAAAGATTTAAATATTTATATGAAATATTGTACTGTATATTACTACATACGTTATTACCCGAAACCGAGTATTCGTACTGCTGATAAATTCTTATTAGTGTTAGCTGATGCTAGTAATTCGGCACTATTCATAAGGTTGCAGGGATTCGCCTCGGTCCCATGCCAACCATTTAGAAAGTTTGATTATGTTTTAGTTCTGTTAGCACTTTCATCTGTTTCCAATCATTGAAACAAGCAAGTTTACGATTGAAAAGAAATGCATTTGCATTCTTTCAGTGCCATATTTGTTGACATTAAAAGAAATACACGAATAAACAATAGTACTTGGTAAATACATTCAACGAGTTGTTATTACCTGACAAAAAAAAGTAATCTAAAAGTTAAGAAAATTCTTTGAATAATCCTCTATAAATAAAATATCAAGTCAAATATACTCCCGCACTGTCTTATCTACTCTAATACTCGAATTTTATTTAAGATTAATTGCACTGTAATTATAAGAACAGGCAAGGCACTTATCACTCGATTTAAAAGTTATCCTATCGCATGGTTTCTCAGCTCCTAAAAAAGTCTCTTATGAAGTCCAAACTTCTGGCAGTATCAACCTCATTCATCTCTCTACGGACTTCCTTTTCCGACTCAGAGCTTACAAACCCTTTTCGAATGATAGCAGGCCAAATCTTGTCCATCATAAGTTTAGGTGTAAGGTCTGGATGACTCTGCATGCTCAGAATGTTATTTCGAACGAGGACTATCTCGTTTTTACAGCGCTTAGAGCTGGCCAACAGTACTGCTCCTTCGCCGAGCGAACTTACCTTGTTAGAAAATTAATTTTTTAGTTTGGAAACTTTATTCACATTACTCAAATATTATCTATTTAATTACAGTGCTGGCAAGCGTAACTAGATTTTACGGAATCACAGATTCGATCTGAATCATTTTGGTAGAATTTGATCTATAAAGCTATAATACTGTAAGAATTGCTAATAGACGAGGTACCTCTTCTTTATGACTTTGCAGAAGGCTCCATTCCAACTGCTCCCCACCATTCTGGTGCTTTTCGATTAAACTTTTTACTCTTTCCGGTAACACTGCACTTTTTCGGAACTTTATATCATCCACCCCGAAAATAAAACCACCTTTCGAAACCCCCATTTCTCCTCCATAAGCTTTGTTGACCAATTGATGGCTAAAACATATCGCCAACAGCTGAAAAATTAGTTGAGATCACAGTAAATACAAAACTACTTGTAACGTTAAAATTATATTTGTGAGACTGTAAACTTACCTGTAAAACATTTGGCAGACTGGCCTATTCCTCCCTCTATTAACTCTAACAGCGAACGGATCATTCTATCACTCATTCGTGACAGGGTAATAAATGCTTACCTTAACATGAGAGTCCTCCAATGCCAAGAAAAAGTTCGAAAGGTCCACCATCCAATCACACTTGTCACTACGACTGACCATGTGAGCCGACCCAAGGCTGATCAGACCATCTAGATGTTTCGTGTTTTCTAGAGTCGGAAGCTGCCCTTTCCACGCGTGATAGAACTGCAGGTCAGCATCTCCATTTCGTTTGAAGCAGCTGAAAGACATGGTCTATCATTGTCTCAATTTTGTTATGACTTTAACTGGTAGTAAATGTCTGAATAAAGTACGGTATCATTCAAGTTATTTGAGGCATGATATTTGTTTAAGGAACTGAGAAACCCCGTTGATCAAGTTTTCAGATCATACATTTTTATTCTTGGCACAATTTGGTATGGAGTTAAAATCAAACCTAGTGCAAATTGTTTCGATGCAGCTTATCCATTTCTCGTTACCATCGCAAACTATTATTCCGATCTTCATTGCGTGTGCTTCTACTTCTAGTTGGTTAAATTTATAGCGGTGGAAAGTCTCAATACAATTTATATAATGTCCCTAATCTCTATACGTATAAAAATATGGATAATTTGTATATAATATATATATAAGTCTAACCTGCCCCAGCTAGATTGCCATGGCAGGGCCAGCAGGCAAAGCCCGGACTAAAACACAATGAACTCATGGATAATTGGTGAAAACAACACTGAAAATGGTTCTAAAATTCAAACGGTAGTATTTCGAATCAATTCAGAACAATTATTATTATTCAACCGTTGCTATGGTTATTGGTTATATCTGCAAAGTTATTTAATATACCATATTTTTTAATTTCGCGACTCCGTCCCCATACGAGAAAATGAAGTGTACTTCAATTTTAGGTTAAACAAACATAAGAATTGAACTTGGAAACAAGCACATGTCGTTTGAAATGCCCTCACCTTTTTATAATAATGCTATTATAGCTGTTACATGATAATTGAAATCACCAGTTCATAATTGGGGACACAAATGGTACGCAATGTATGCCGATGCGCGGTATACACAAACATGTTTTTCACCAGATTTGCATTATACAAAATACATGTGTTAAAGTTGATGGAATTACATATTCATAACGACAGAGGCACTGGTAGTGGTATTGGTAAAGAATTATCACAATATCCTGTCAGAAAGATGTTGCGAAACAACTTGTCAATTTCCAAAGTTGAGCAGACTATACCATATAATATACTGTCCATTTCCTAGAAATTAGTCCTTGCGATTTTTGGAGCATATAATCTGAAATATCAATTTAAGATAATCTTCTTGGAGGCACCGAGTTTATAATTATAGGAAACCGAACAATATCGACCAAGCATAATTTGAAATTAACCAGCCAAAAGTTTCTTTGCTTGGTTATTGGAACGTACTAGTGTTATACTTCTTACCATTGAAAAGGGAACAATATCCATTAAAGCTAAAAGTTTTAAAAATCCCGGAGGAATTTATGCAGTGTCTAGATATATGAAGCCGTACTGAAGTCTCGAATAGGATGATAACAAAAATGTAACCACCGATAGCGGATAACATATGATACAGCTGGTAGTGATTATAGAGTGATATAATTATAGACCGATACCGTCATGTACTCATCTACAATGTTAACTATACCATGAAAATGGAACAAATTTGATTTGCAAATCGTGCAAACTATACAATACAATAGAATTATAATTCTATGGACAATCACAAGACACGAAGCATTGTAAAACTTGACAAGGCAGCTTAATTCTGTACATTCTAGAAACATATGTGTAACAACATCTGGTTAACTTTAAACTAGGGTTTATGCTTAAGAAGACACAACTATTAAATAATTATGTATATTACAGCATCGGATGTTCATTAATTGACACAGTTATCCGGAAAATGAAGTCGCATGACTGGTGAAGTGTTAATCCGATACAGACAGTAACGTCGGAAGATCACGCTGCAAATACTAGTGTGTACATCACTATGTGTTACCATAGTTACACTACTAGTTACCATAGTTACACTACTAGTGTGTACACCACTATGTGCACTAATCTGGATTATTGAAGTGCATTTGTCCTTCTTGATCTGATTTAGTTTAACCTTTGATGACTGACAAGTAAATGTTGGACTAAGACTGGATGCATTATCATTGGAATAAAGCCATGTGAAATTCGCTTGCGAACAATGCACAGTACAGAAAAACAGCAAAGTTAAGGTTAACAACTTGGCAGCTTGCTCCAAAGCGTACTATCACAATTCTTAATAATGGATAAGCATTAAATTCACGTACAGTTTGTCACGCTACCGTTTGGCTCGTCATCAAGTGTCGAGTTTTAAGAAACCGTACAATTTCGGCTACAGCCGAGGATTCCACAAAAGTTGGAACTTTGAACGTTGAAACTTAAGCATGAAATGCAACAGATGGGACAATTTATACCCCTCAAATGAATAAATTCGTTAAATCATCGGTCAATATTCTAATTCACAGGGCGTGTTTAACTCAAGAGTAAGTTACTTTACTACGGCACAGTGTGACTTCATTCAAAATCTAATTTGGCAATTGCAGTGCAACTTTCTGTCGGACTATCAAGTTACTGCAAATATGATCTTACTTTATCAAAAATATGAAGTAAATAAAAGTAAAGTTTTGCCAGCCATGAAGTACAATCATATTGCATTTGCACATGTTCGCACCTGTTCCCATTTGCGGATCTCATTTTCTGTTCTCATATTGTCTTTGGGTGGGTGGGTGGTTATTTTCATGGGAGTGGTTGCTACGCTGATGATAACAGCATTTACCTTTGCTCTTTTATTCTAATCCAATTGTAGCTTCAACAGCGTACAAGTGAAGATCAAGAAGTATATACAATTTGCAATTTTTCAATAAATATCAAAAGAATCAGATTCACAAAAGTGAACTGAAAGCCGTACTGGCACTGCAACAAACAACTTACGGACAGAGAATAAAACTAGCAACAGATTGAAATATAATGAAATGAATAGTTGTAACCCTTGGCACTATACTACTATGTTGTAGCTGCGCATATATCCGTTTTAACACCATCGTTTTTATTGTGTATTATAACGTATTTTGGCCGACTGCGACCTTTTGGCTTTTCTCCACCAGTTTGCAGTTCATGTCCGGTCTTTGTATTATAAAAGTTATTAGCTTCAAATAAAAGAAGCCTGACTCTTGTACGTGTCTTCAGGTCATCGCATAAACATGAACAAAGCTAGTAGTAGTAATACTAATAGTATGTAGTGAGGCTTCGTTGTTACTGACTGTCACAAAATAAGGTCGAGAGCAGAGAAATGGTATGAACTGGCGCCGCAGCTGCAGTATTACAAAAAACATACTTGTCCTTCTGTCACGTCGTACAAGATATGTACAATGCTGATTCTTGGTAAAATGTTGATTCTAGGTCATAGGTAATACCTAGAATCAGCATTTTACCAAGAATCAGCACTCTCAGTAGTGTGTAGTGAGTCAGTACATAAGGTACTGACTCACTACTGAGACATGCAAGTGAAAAGAACAAGCGCAAACAGCAAAGCGACACAAACTGCAAAAATAATTAATCAAATGCACGGATACTGGCCAAAAAATACTTCCGCTAAATCGTTGAAACACGTTTTATTTGACGTTGTAAACGGAAACCAGCGGCCGCGCACGATCGAGTGCGCGTGCGCGGCTGTATTATATTGCCATTGGCTGTATTTAGTTTACTTGGCGGCGCTCGGCCCGCCGGCCCGGCCTGTCAGATTCCGCCAAATCTTTATTTATGTTTATGAACATGATAGCCTGGGGTCCCCAGGTAATATTTAGTATTATATCGTATTATATGTATTATATTGTGTATCGTGGCTTTCCACTTTCGCTGCATGTGCACGATAATTAAACAGTGAAAATTAAATAGTGAAAACGACGTCACTTAGTTACTAGTTAAAATTAAACTTAGTTTATGTTCATGTTCATAATCATATACTTAAAGAATAGAGATTCCGCGGAATGACAGGCTGAACACGGCCCAGTAATGTTCATAGTTGGCTTATTTTATTGTCATACGTTGTATAACCCGCCGCGCACGAGTGCGCGGCTCCCCTGCTGTATCGTATATAGAAACTTTACAGGGGTTCCACTGGTACCATAGTGAAACGACCGTGGGGGTCACGACGCGACGTGATACAAATATTTTATACAAGAGATTCGGCGGAATGCAATATGCATTCACATAGCCATGTGTATACGCGTTCTGCGTGACGCGCTTGTTTCACAATTTGCGGTAGCGCGCGCCGCTACTGCAAGCGGGAGGGCTCTGGTTAGATCAGCAACATATGCATGAACATGCTGATCAGCGCCGCCCAGTACACAGTAAGCGACATTAATGATTATATTGATTAATGATTATCTTTAAGTACATCATACATGCAGTGATCGCGCGATTGCACGCGTGACGCATTATATGTTTTTAATATAACGGGTGATACTCGTAAAATATTTGTTCCAAATATTAGTATTACCGTGGACGAATTCAACTCGGCGCGCGTCCTGGTAGGTTATAAACCTACAACGCATGTTCCAATGTTGAGACTTTTCAGGATAACTCAAAATCTACGTTGCAGTTGTCTTAAATTTCCCACTACAGGGGATCAGACGTTATTTTTTTAATTATGAGGCGAACATTTTGCAAAAAACCGAGAAGTCTTTATGCATCAGGGACAAAATCAAAAAGGATTTCGCGATTATTTTGGCCAAAATTTGCGATAGCTCGATTTTTAACAGACTATACATTAAACTATACATAAAATTTGTCGCAAATAATGGGAAAAATCGAGATTCCGTACATGCCGCGATTTCCTTTTGTCCCTGCTATGCATAGCTATGTTTGGTCCAATTTCACAACTTTTACTTCATGTTTGGTCCAATTTCACAACGTTGGGAAATTTTTAGTTATAGAAGTATAACTATAAGGAGTCGTAATTCTCCGTTAAACTACAGGTTATAGTGTTTAGTTCATGTTTTGGTCGTTAATATATATATAATATAATTTAAAAGCTAATTTGAAAAAAGTGGTGCTGATTGCTTCACTTAACGTCTGGGAAGCTAAAAATTAATTATTACTATTAGGACTAGGAGTCATGCAAGAGATTAGGGAAATAGCAATGATATCCTTTACAAACAATTCCTTATGTGACAAATCACAAACGAGACATAAATTTCAAATCTGATAAACTAGTTAAACTATAATTTCGATTTCAAAATCAACCATGAAAATAAATCAATTTTGCCATTTACTGTTCACAATATTTACAACATTATTATTTACAAATATTCGACTAATTTTCTGGTTTGCGTCATACTGATACATCACATTATTGGTCTAAAAATGTAATACATAATTTAGTTGTCTCTAGTAATCACTGTGAACTGTGAAGCACTGAGAACGCCTCAAATTATTTCTGTTAGGGTAAGTATCTTAGACTTAAGTATCTGTATGTTAAGGTTGTCCCCCTTATTAATAAAAATATCTTCACTTCAAGAAATTGACTTAACAACTGTCTCAACTGCAATGGATTCAAACTGTGCGGTTATCAACATTTTAAGGTTATTAATTTCAGGTCCAACACGCAGTCACGCCTAAGCCGGTCACTACTGGTTCAATCACAGGGAGCTCATTTAAATTTAATCTCGTTAGATAGAACGAGCTTCAAAGATAACAAAATTGAAATCAGTACCACGAACGCTCCGATATTAAACCTGGCGTCAAGTATTTTTATACCTCAACCCCAGAAGAAATCTTAATCTAATCTCAGAAGTTCTGTTTGTTCCTACTTCTCTTCTTCCTCTTATCTATGGGATCTAGAACGTTCCTGGGGCCTCTCCCTAGCACGTCGTTATCATCCAGAAAGTTTCTGCTCCCTCCGTGCCCCCCGCCTGAAGTAATGCAGGAATTAGGAAAGGGAATAGGTTTTCAGAATACACTTTGATCCGTGCGGTTATGTGTCAGCGTAACGTTTAAATAAGTTTATAAATTGGATAAAATGTATTGAGCGGGTAAAAGTAGTGGACGGTATTTATGAGGCCTCTAGTGTAGAGCTAGTTTTATTCTAACCGTTGTACAGCTTGTTCTCCTGAAGCAGCCGCTGTGCTCGGGTAGACTTGAAGTAGTCTGAATTCTCAGTTGAAGCGAGCTTTGCTCTGATCTTCATGTCGTCTGGGAGGTCCATATAGGCTGGCTGGATGCCCGAGGAGCTCTGTGGGGAGAAGATATTGTTTGTTGGGCTCCAACTTTTAAATGTTTTAAGCTAAATTTGAACTGCAGTGATAGTATTCTCCATCATCAAACTGTCTCACTGATTATAATATTGAATGTGTGAATCGTGTTAGAGACGGTACAAAGTCATTTTATGGTTGCAATACAACAATAAATAGGACTCCAAAGTCCAAACCGAAGAAGAAAAAAACAAAACAAACATGTTAATTCGATCCCTAACCCATGGGGACCCCATTGATTTGGGATCTAATGAACCTGTTTGTTTTGTTTTTTGCGATGGAGTCCTAAATTGTTACAGTAAAAACATAAGATAAAAAGATATAGTTAAAGATAAAAAGATGTAGTTCCAACTGTTCACCTTGTGAGAAGGAATATCTGCAGGTGTGGGTAGCTTTGTTCTTGTTATCATGACAGGAGGAAGTAACCATGAACCTGTCTCCGGGCTCCATTTACAGTCCCTCTTTATGGCATCCAGGTTGTAGTAGTTGCTGTCTCGACGCAGCAGTGGTTGAATCTGAATGTTGATAGTTTAAGTTTAAGTTTGTTGAATTAATTGTTAAACAGACACAGTGAGAAATTAAGATTATTGGATTCGTATTTTTTAGAGAACTATAGTTTAACAATAATTAAATACAATTGTAACACATTTATCATTTTGAACAGGCAGTTCATTATTTCATTAAGAAATGACACGTAACCTGGTACTGATCATTGTCCTACCTGATCTAGGATCTGCTGTAATAGTTTAGATTCCTGACTCTGTTGACGAATGGAGTCCAAATAGTCTTCTCGCTGTGTCTGGAACTCTTCAGTCAGATCTTTTATCTCGTTCACTTTCTCTTCGTACTTCTCCTTTATTCTTCCGACCTTTTTGTTGCGGACCTCGACCTGTGCAATGTGGCGATTGTTAGCTGCTACTAGTTTATTGCATCTAAATATACGTTACTAAGCTATGTGTAATCATTTCATTCTTATATTATGTTCAAAAGATGCTGCAATTAAGCTTATCCAATTCATCGCAAAATCCTAAACAGTAGAACTGAAAGCCAAGTACCTTTAAAAAAAGTTTATGAAGAAAAAAATATTTGGGCAGAGTAAAATTCTAAACCTTCGATCAAGTTCTCACTAGATTGTGGGCCCAGTTTAAGTTTATCTCCTGTCGTGAGTATTTAACTAAAAGCTTAAAAGGGTGAGATATCGTTGCTTCAAATTATAATCAAATTATGTTTACTTTCTGTCACCCGAAAGTTATACAACATTTTAAGATGCATCTCTAAACTAACCTCCTCCATCTGCAAGTTGAACAGCTCCTCAATGACCCCCTCATCGTCACCCTCCTCCATAGCACGTCTCAGCTTCCTTCTCTTCGCTTCCGCTGCATCTCTCCTCCTCTTCAATTTCTCCTTTATCTCCTGGGATTAAAGGGAGTTTTAATTATAGTTTCATTTTAATTATGTTTTGTAATACAAGGTGTTTACATTTAAACAGAAACTGTTTCTTCGCTAACAAGTGCAAAACTAATTTCGTACCAATGTTCTTTTAGAACATATTATTTCGAATTATAAACAAGAACTGGTGATCGTTCATATATAACGTATTAGAAATAATTCGGCCATTTAGGCCCCAACCCCCTTACATTTAATCGGCCTGAAGTTTGCACTGCACACTATTCTTCCATTAACACACGATTAAGAGTGTTTCCAAACCATCATCTCCAGACCTACCTTTTTAGAGGCTTTAACCTGGAGGTCTGCCCCAGACTGCACCGCGTTACCCTGGAGACCTACCTTTTTAGAGGCTTCAACCTGGAGGTCTGCCCCAGACTGCACCACGTTACCCCGGAGACCTACCTTTTTAGAGGCTTTAACCTGGAGGTCTGCCCCAGACTGCACCCCGTTACCCTGGAGACCTACCTTTTTAGAGGCTTTAACCTGGAGGTCTGCCCCAGACTGCACCACGTTACCCCGGAGACCTACCTTTTTAGAGGCTTTAACCTGGAGGTCTGCCCCAGACTGCACCATGTTACCATGGAGACCTACCTTTTTAGAGGCTTTAACCTGGAGGTCTGCCCCAGACTGCACCACGTTACCCCGGAGGCCTACATTTTTAGAGGCTTTAACCTGGAGGTCTGCCCCAGACTGCACCACGTTACCCCGGAGACCTACCTTTTTAGAGGCTTTAACCTGGAGGTCTGCCCCAGACTGCACCACGTTACCCTGGAGACCTACCTTTTTAGAGGCTTTAACCTGGAGGTCTGCCCCAGACTGCACCACGTTACCCTGGAGGTCTGCCCTAGACTGCACCACGTTACCCTGGAGACCTACCTTTTTAGAGGCTTTAACCTGGAGGTCTGCCCCAGACTGCACCACGTTACCCTGGAGCTCCTGCAACTTCTGTAGAGCAGCTTGGTGCATTCTGATTGCTTCCTCCTGGTCAGCGTCACTTATCTCTACAGCTGCTTCAGTTAGGGGCATCTCCTGTGGGCAGTTAATTGTAACTATCAGTGCACACTCGCAGTGAGGCTATAATTTACTGTTACAGTATGGTGAGAAACATTTATAGATATTTATGAAACTATCTATTTATTTGAAACCTACTTGCAGTCGCGGCATAGCTTTTCGTTTTGCGTTGACATCAGAGAGTTTTGAAGTTTTGCTGCGCATTCCTTTCAGCTGAGAAAAATTAGACCGGTCAAATAGCTTTAAAAAGGTACTACCACGGTATAATCACAAGGAGATTTCAGATATCAGTACCAATCCATTGGTAACTATGATCGGTTACCACTAGTTACCATTGGTTACCACTAGTTACTATAGGTTACCATTGGTTACTATCGGTTACCACTACTTACTATAGGTTACCATTGGTTACTATCGGTTACCACTAGTTACCACTAGTTACCACTAGTTACCACTAGTTACCACTAGTTACCACTAGTTACTTGCAGCCACTCCCACCTGATTGTTTGAGAGTTTCAGGGCTGCAATTTGGTTCTGGGTAAATAGCAGCTGTGCGATTTGGGACGGAACCAAGTCTTTAACCTCGTCTTCTGTTATTCCCAGTACTGAGGAATACATAGTACATTAAAACCCCGATTTACCGCGGAGTTTGGGGGAAAGGAAACATCCGCGGTAAATTGATGTCCGCGTTAAATCGGGGTTTTATTTGCTCCCCACTGCATCTGGTCCGAGTCTGTTAGCACAGATCACCTGGGAGTGGTAACACCATAAAACCGTTAATTGCCTGTCAGTGCTATATCACTGGGGGGTCGGTTGCTGTGGTGGCGAGAGGATGCATTTGCTGGGTGGTGCTTGGTGATGCTGTCTTGTGGCAGGGTCATCTGTGTGTCACCTACGGTTCACCATATTGTCCAAGTCTTGGTTGCCCTGTGTAATTGAGCATTTGCTTGGTGATCGTGTCTCAAACATGATCACTTACGGTTCAATTTTGATTCCCTAAGGGCTTCAGAAGCTCTGCATGCTTTTATTTTACGTACCGAACCTAACCACCAGCATGCTGGTGTCCGGACAGAGGGCTTACATTTTGATGTCGGTGCTGCCTCTGGATCGGGTGCGAAGGTCCGGCAAACCATCCACCTTAAATCAAACCGCTACAGAAACGTCTACAGTGTCATTCAATAGTATTATACGTGGAGGCGCAGGTGGAGTGATGACGGCGACTAGGCAAAGCCGAAAGGACCCTAGTAGCTTGATGTCTGTTTGCAACTCCCGTAAGAGCCGACGTAAACACTGTAAATACAGAATTCCTTCATCAGATTTATCATTTGTAAACAGACAGTCAAGTATGTCTAATCCTGTAAATATTGTAAAGAATCCTCTCTGTGTCAGTACATGGAATGTTACTTCTCTTGTCAGCAATTCCAGCAAGATGTATCAATTGGGAAAAGGGTTTGATGATTATGGACTAGAGCTCCTTGGGGTAACTGAAACACATATGGCTGGATCGGGAACTCAGACTTTGGGAAATGGCGCTGTTTTGGTGTATTCTGGCAGGAATGATGGGGTACGGAGAGAAGGAGTCGGTGTTGTACTGTCCAAAAAGATGAAGAATACTCTCATATCATACACCCCTGTATCAGGACGGGTTATGACTGCCCGTTTACATAGCAAACACATCAACATTAGTGTTACAGTGGTATATGCTCCAACTGAGGATGCAGAGATCAGTTTAAAAGACTCATTCTACAAGGAATTGAATGATGTTCAATCGGGACTACCTGGTCATGATATAAAAATAGTTTTAGGAGATTTTAATGCTCGTGTTGGAAGGGACACTGATGCTCACCCTGGTGTTATAGGAAAACACTCATATCACACAGAATCCAATGATAACGGAAAACGGATGCTAGATTTCTGTACTATGCACCAGCTGACGATCGGAGGCACACTTTTTGAACACAAGGATATTCACAAGACAACATGGAGATCCCCAAATGGTAACACCGTCACTCAAATTGACCATATTTGTATTTCAACGAGATGGAGCCATTCATTGCTTGATGTCAGGAGCATGAGAGGAGCAGATATAAATACTACTCACTACCTGGTAAGAGGATATGTATCTATTAAGCTTAAGTGTCCACAGAAAAGAAAGAAGCGTGTAAGACAGCCTGCTTTAGAGAACTTGCGTGATAGATCTAAGAGCCAGGAATATAGTAACAAAATAGCTGAAAAATACTATACCAACGATCAGGAGCTTGGAAACTCTCCTTTAGAAGAACAATGGAAGAAATTGAGAGACATTATAACTGATATCTCGTTTGAAGTTCTGGGTGAAAGAGGCCGGAAAAAGAGAACAGAACATCTCTCAAAGGATACTAAGAATCTCCTAAAAGAACGAGGTGAGATTAAAAAGAAACCTAGTACTGCTGAGAATCGTGCTAAGTACTCGCAGATTAACGGTCTTGTTAGGCAGAACTGTAAAAGAGATGATAATGCCTGGGCTGTTAGAGTAGCTGAGGAATTGGAAGAGGCTGCCAAGCAGGGTCAACAAAGAGATGTTTGGCAGAAAATAAAATCCCTTACAAACAAGAGAGTAAACAGATCTGCGGCAGTGCGGGATAAGAATGGGACACTTATATCAGATCCCGAAGCTCAGTCACATCGCTGGGCCGAATATTTTGAAGAACTCTTGACGCCAGCAGCAGATGCGGTGGATTTCTCTCTATTGGATGAGGACGAAAAGGTACTTTCTTTTGAATATCTTAGTAATGATGATGAGCCACCGTCCTTGTTTGAAATTGAGGAAGCTATCAAGAAGTTGAAGAACTACAAAAGTGCTGGAATTGATGAAATTTCAAATGAGCAGTTAAAGTACGGTTCTCCTGGACTTCTGCCTTGGTTAAAAGATTTGTTTGAAACTGTATGGAAAAGTGAGGATATTCCTAGTGATTGGAGGAAAGGAATCATCACCATCATCCCAAAGAAAGGGGACCTCACATATTGCAACAACAACAGAGGGATAACTCTACGCTCCACCGTATCGAAGTTATTTCAAATCGTGTTGTTAAAAAGACTAAGTAATGGGCTTGAAAAGTTACTTAGAGAAAATCAGTGTGGTTTCAGGAGAAACCGTTCTTGTATAGATCAGCTATACTCCCTTCATTGTATAATACACAATTGTATAGAATTCAACGTCCCTTTGTATATAAACTTTATTGATTTTAAAGCTGCTTTTGATTCAATCAATCGTGACTTTATTTGGAAAGCTTTTGAACATTATGGTCTTCCAACAAAATACATCAATGTTTTCAAAGCGTTCTTTAGAGCAACTGAAAGTGCAGTTCGTGTCAATGGGGAATTGACAAGATGGTTTGATGTCGATTCGGGGACTGGACAAGGTGATGTGCAAGGGCCTCCCATTTTCAACCTTGTACTTAACTGGGGATTAGAACTTGCCGAGAAGTTTAAAAATATATCGCGTGGTTTTACTCTTCAGTACAGACAAAGTTCCAGACAACCGGAAAAATGTGTCATTGATTTGGACTATGCTGATGACATAGCAGGCATGGATGACACTGTCGAGGGACTGCAAGAAACAACGGACAATATTGCGAAATACTGTGGGCTTGGGGGTTTAAAGATGAACGCAAAGAAAACAGAGATCATGGTAATTGGGAAAGATACGTCGCAGCACCCACTCCCAGAGAATAGGACCATAGATATTACTGTCGATGGAAACTCTGCAAAGCAGGTCACTCAATTCACTTATTTGGGTGCCAAAATTACATCGGATGGCAAGATCGATAAAGAAATAAGTGTCAGGATTGGAAAAGCAACCGGAGCTTTTAACCAACTCAATAACATTTGGAAGAATAAGAACATAAGCATTAACAACAAAGTGCGAATCTACATCGCAGCTGTTCTTACCATTCTGACCTATGGAAGTGAGATATGGAACACGACTCAAGTGCAGACAAGAAGATTAGAGTCTTTCCATCAGTACTGCTTACGCAGAATCCTGAGAGTGAGGTGGTTCCATCGAGTAAGAAATGAAGATGTTTTAAGAAGGGCTTCAATAACTGCTCTTACTGACATAATAGCAACAAAACGGCTACGTTGGTTTGGACATGTCAGTAGAATGCCTGAAGATCGGTTACCTAACTATCTACTTGAATGGAAACCGAAGCATGGGAAACGATCAAGAGGCAGGCCTAGGAAGAGCTTAAATGATGTATTTATTGAAGATGCTGAGCAGAGATTGGATCGTAATGGACTCACGATTGATTGTATGAGAAGATTGGCTGCAGATCGAAAAGGATGGAGAAATATTACCCGCCGAAGTTGTATAATACAAAGTAATGACGCAGATGACGCAGACTAATCCTTTTGGATGGAGATCTCGCCATGTAACATGTAACATGTAACATGTATGTATGTATTTGGTTTAGTGTTTACATTATGTATGTTAAGCCCCTTAGTATTTGGGAAGGAAATGGCATGTAAATTGTGATTTGCGGTAATTCGAGGCGAGGCATATCGGTGTTTTACTGTACTATGTTTGCAGTGCACTACTAAAGAATGTTTGTTCATTCTGGGTTCTCATCAAGACCAAAATAATATTCTTCTCAAGTGAGATTAGCGTCTCATAAGAGCGGTGAATCTAAAATTATAACTGTTAAAGCTATCAGGAAACAGAAATAAATGATAAAGTAGAGAAATAAAGAATTAGCTTACATGAAAGCTGTTCTTCTGTCAGTACAAGAGATTCCAACTGTGACTTTGATAGCAAACTTGCCTTGAAATAAGAATTTCTTGCTCATGAATATTCTTAAGTTCATGAGAAAACAAGGACTTCACTTTTTTCAACTTCAAAGAAAGAAACACAAAGTTATTATTGAAAGAACGTTATTAATCAAAAGTCACGAATCAACAACTAAATTACATTACCTGCTCTGCAGTCAGCCTGATGAACTTAGCTTTACTCGTCTCCTCCTCAGGACCCCTTACTTCTTCCTCCTCCTTCCTATCTTTCTCCTTACTCTCCTTCTCCTTAATCTCCTTCTCCTTGCCTCCTTTAGTTCGCCCTTCCTTGGCAGCTTGTTTAGAGACAGGGATTACTCCTGTGAGTCTGAGCACTGAGAGGAGGCTTTGAGAACATCACATTACATCACAGTCACGCGTATAAGGTATCACATTACATCACAGTCACGGATATAATGTATCACATTACATGACAGTCACGGGTATAATGTATCATATTACATCACAGTCACGGGTATAAGGTATCACATTACATCACAGTCAAGCGTAGAAGGTATCATACTACATCACAGTCACGGGTATAAGGTATCACATTACATCATAGTCACGGGTATACGGTATCACATTACATCATAGTCACGGGTATAATGCATTGGGCATAGTAACAGTCAAAGGTCACGGTAACGGTCATGGAAAAACTAGGGTTCACAATGAAAATCACACAAAATCAAAATCACAACAATTAAATAATAAAGAAGAAAGACTTATATAAATAGTCACTAGGTCACAGTCTCAGACAAACATGTCTTCAGTTATCATGATAACATTCAGTCTATTTGTTACGGGAGAGTAAAGTTAGCAAATCACTGCCACACATCACAATAAACTAATTAACTAATTAACTAGTTAACTAATTAACTAATTAACTAATTAACTAATTAACTAATTAACTAATTAACTAATTAACTAAATAACTAATTAACTAATTAACTAATTAACTAATTGTTCAGCCTTCACAAACCCTCTTCAAGAAGCCCCGTATTCTCCACCACCTCCAACGCTGCGTTAAGTTTCTGTTTCTGATCCTGCGACAAGAAGGAAACTTGTTGACCTGTTAGCGAGACTTGACTCAGCTGACTGGCGGTCAGTTGTAGACTTGCTATCTGATCACGTGATACAACGTCCGATCTGTCTAACCCTGAGGGGAGGTTTTTAGTAAGTCCGATCTGTCTAACCCTGAGGGGAGGTTTTCAGTAAGTCCGATCTGTCTAACCCTGAGGGGAGGTTTTTAGTAAGTCCGATCTGTCTAACCCTGAGGGGAGGTTTTTAGTAAGTCCGATCTGTCTAACCCTGAGGGGAGGTTTTTAGTAAGTCCGATCTGTCTAACCCTGAGGGGAGGTTTTTAGTAAGTCCGATCTGTCTAACCCTGAGGGGAGGTTTTTAGTAAGTCCGATCTGTCTAACCCTGAGGGGAGGTTTTTAGTAAGTCCGATCTGTCTAACCCTGAGGGGAGGTTTTTAGTAAGTCCGATCTGTCTAACCCTGGTCCCTGAGGGGAGGTTTTTAGTAAGTCCGATCTGTCTAACCCTGAGGGGAGGTTTTTAGTAAGTCCGATCTGTCTAACCCTGAGGGGAGGTTTTTAGTAAGTCCGATCTGTCTCACCCTGAGGGGAGGTTTTTAGTAAGTCCGATCTGTCTAACCCTGAGGGCAGGGTTTTAGTAAGTCCGATCTGTCTAACCCTGAGGGGAGGTTTTTTAATAAGTCCGATCTGTCTAACCCTGAGGGGAGGTTTCAGTAAGTCCGATCTGTCTAACCCTGAGGGGAGGTTTCAGTAAGTCCGATCTTTTTAACCCTGAGGGGAGGTTTTTAGTAAGTCCGATCTGTCTAACCCTGAGGGGAGGTTTTTAGTAAGTCCGATCTGTCTAACCCTGAGGGGAGGTTTTTAGTAAGTCCGATCTGTCTAACCCTGAGGGGAGGTTTCAGTAAGTCCGATCTGTCTAACCCTGGTCCCTGAGGGGAGGTTTTTAGTAAGTCCGATCTGTCTAACCCTGAGGGGAGGTTTTTAGTAAGTCCGATCTGTCTAACCCTGAGGGGAGGTTTTAGTAAGTCCGATCTGTCTAACCCTGGGGGGAGGTTTTCAGTAAGTCCGATCTGTCTAACCCTGAGGGGAGGTTTTTAGTAAGTCCGATCTGTCTAACCCTGAGGGGAGGTTTTTAGTTAGTCCGATCTGTCTAACCCTGAGGGGAGGTTTTTAGTAAGTCCGATCTGTCTAACCCTGGTCCCTGAGGGGAGGTTTTTAGTAAGTCCGATCTGTCTAACCCTGAGGGGAGGTTTTTAGTAAGTCCGATCTGTCTAACCCTGAGGGGAGGTTTTTAGTAAGTCCGATCTGTCTAACCCTGAGGGGAGGTTTCAGTAAGTCCGATCTGTCTAACCCTGGTCCCTGAGGGGAGGTTTTTAGTAAGTCCGATCTGTCTAACCCTGAGGGGAGGTTTTTAGTAAGTCCGATCTGTCTAACCCTGAGGGGAGGTTTTAGTAAGTCCGATCTGTCTAACCCTGGGGGGAGGTTTTTAGTAAGTCCGATCTGTCTAACCCTGAGGGGAGGTTTTTAGTAAGTCCGATCTGTCTAACCCTGAGGGGAGGTTTTTAGTAAGTCCGATCTGTCTAACCCTGAGGGGAGGTTTCAGTAAGTCCGATCTGTCTAACCCTGAGGGGAGGTTTCAGTAAGTCTGATCTGTCTAACCCTGAGGGGAGGTTTTTTGTTGTTGATACAAACAAATTTATTGAACCTTAGCTATAATCTTATGCATAAGATTATAGCTAAGAGCACAAGTTTCAATATAAATTTTCATTACACCACCCTTGTTACCATTTCTCTTCGATACGGTTCCCAATTTGATCGTTCCCTACAGCAACAAAAAAACCGAAAAGATGAGAAAAGTTTCCCTTTGTAAATTTGCGATCGACAAATGAGCGTAATCACCATAGGCATAGATTGAGTCCCGAAAATATCAATAATTTCCTAAAATAATACCTAGCTGAGCGAACTGAGATTGAGTAAGTGTAAGTTTAGCAATCTGTTCCTCTGATACCATCTGGATCTGGTCAACTGTCAGTTGCAGGAGTCCAGCTTCCTCGTTAGTGTTCAGGTACGCCAGCTGAGATATTAGTGTTTTATTTTATCCAGTGTTATGAATTGTGTGATAGTTATATATATATATTTAATACTTTCAACACTACTATATAACAAATAATTTGAGGATGACTGTAAAGGTACATTTTACCGACATTTGAAGTCAAGGCGTTGTTTTACTGATAGTTGTGGCTAACTAATAATATATATACTTATTTTCCTTTCCTAGTTTGTAAGTTATTTTAAAGATTTGTGTATATTCCAGTTGCTTTTAGAACAATTTTATCTCAGATAACGATGTTTAATAAAATGATGCAAAGAACTATTTCGAAGATCTAATCAACACCGACTTTTAATGTGTAGGAGTACAGCAACAAAATATATATATATATAATATATACAAATTGAAACGACCGGTTTCAATTTGTATCTAGCTCTCGGCTTGCCGATTAGGCACTGTCAGCAGACGACGCCACCCACATTTATATATGTCAACGCAGCAAATTTACGAGAAAATCATGCTGCTTATTGTTTAAGATGCAGAACAGGGCAAAATTACTGGCTATAGAACATCTTACTGTATATAAAGCGAGACGATATATATAGGTAATATATACTATATATTATATCCGTACCATATTACTGACATCACGGCATCATGATCAAATTTAACACGACTTTCCGCAAAATCCGAAAAAGATATAAAACTGAAACTTTTTTGACTGGTTCTAATGCTTTAATGGCCTTCAAATCAGCATGAAAAAATAAAAAATTGGCCAAGGAATAAGAATTTTAGTGCCCAAAATTTGTGGTGTCAAAAACGCGAATTAAATAGGTAATAATTATTTTGGTCTCTTGACACCACCAGGGTTAGACGGGTTCCTGCTAGAAATACTAATATACAGATAGATTGAGTAACCCACGAAAAACCGGCCGCTATCAAACAACTTTTCAGCTCATTGTTTGATATGTAAACGATCAAAATACAGGCACTTGCCGAATGACCATGAGTGTGAGTTTGTAAACTGTAAGCATCTACGACTAAAGATACCAGGAGAGATTGAAACGGAGAAAACGTGAGAGTAGAACGTAAAATTCGCAAAAACATCATTTTACTGGCGGTGTCAAAACATTAAACAGGGCAAGTTACTATTCGGTACACAATAAACAAAAAAAACAGGGCAAAATGTCTTTCGGCAACACAATAGAATTACACGTAAAATTTCGGCCTAAAATTTCACGGTTTATCAACTGAAACAGTGAGCAATTATAGAAATTGCGAACATTTATTAATACTAATAGAGATTAAAGACTCAGACTTTAAGTCGCCACGAATTTTGTAACCATAGTAACAGTATGTCACGTGTTCAATATGAGCCGATCATGCGCCAGCCATGCGTGATATAGGGGCTAAGGGCCGGAGGTGAGCTGATACTTTCTCTGTGTTACTAATACCTGGGAATTATTAAAGTGTAGTGTTGCATAATATGGGGATACTGCAGCTGTGTATCAATCATCATAAATATGGTAAACGTGCCAACTGTTATGCATTGCAATCGTTCATTAAATATTAGTTTAAAGTCACAAAATTTGACCTTCATCTGTGTGGAAATTTGTGTGTTTGTATATATTAAGATGCTACACTTAGCTACACTTATCTACACGTTGCCAGATTGTATCTCGTTCTCGCGGGCTACATTATGTCATGTAGTCCGGCGGGCTTAAATATGTCATTCGCTCGCGGGCTGTATCATCAGCGGGCGGAGAAATATCGGGCCCTCTTACTTAACTCGCTCTTACTTAACTATCGGGCTGCGCGGGCCCGCTGCAGTAAAAAGAGCCCGCTGGTGGATATAGTTATAAATTATTGTGTAATTAATTGATTATACGAGCAGATTATACATCTTATCAAAATGGTAAGCTAATAATTAAAACATGATCAATATCCAATTCCTCATATAATCGGCAATTTCTTTAACTAAGCAATACACTTATAATATAAATACGTTAAATATACGTTAAATATTGTTCTAAAAATAAAGGTATTTTATGTAATTAATAAATAAATAAAGTTAGTTTACTATACCTCTTGTACAGCACGTGATGTAACACTTGACATTATCATCTTCTGTTGACTGCTAAAACTAGCTAATTGGTTGTCTGACAACTTCAGTTGGATTATCTGAGGATTATATTTAATATATAATATATATATATAATATTTATATTTAATTGTGTCATTTGGTGAGGATTGTCCAGTCACTCCAGATGAATATTTATTAGGTTAGAGTTTCGTTTAAAATTTCGATTGCTTGTCACCATAAAATTAATTCAATGAAACTCATCATGACACGAAGAAATCTGACGAAGCTTTAAAAATTATCAGACAATCACCTACTAATTAAAATATGATTACCAATAATTCACAAAACTTATTTACAAAATCTATTTGCAAAATTAATTACCACCAATCAATCAACTAACCACACGATCATCACAATTTACTAACCTGTTGTCCATTGAGAGTGATAAGAGCTATTTCGTCGAGGGACACAGTTTGTCCCTTGACTAGTCCCAGAATATCACATTGTTCCGGGGTCAGGGTCAAACCGGATAGTTGTCTTGGAGACAAGGTTTTTATCTGAAGAGAGAGAGGATCAACTTAATGTTTTCATGGTTAACTGAATGGCACTCTTGTCTAAAACTGTTTATTTTCCAGCTTTTATTTTGGTTTTTTATTTTAGCATGATTTCTGACAATACATTGCAGTACTCTTTAATATTACATTTCAAGTATGTAAAGTAAACGATCTGTCACCTGGTTCTCAGTAAGTACCATCTCAATCTCCTCAAGGGGGGAGATTTCTTTCAACCTCTTCAGGGCATCCTGGGAGATTTGCCAAATGTCAGGGAAATATTTGATAATTGAGTAAATTCTTTTCTATACTTGTACATGTACGAGTTGTGTCTCAATATCTCAAACATCAAAGCATTCCTGCGATATAAAGTACCTGTTTAACAACGTTTTGCTTTGCAACCAGGGCTGTCTCCATCTGCTCCGGTTTCAGTAGAGTTTCCATACTATGTTGGGGGATATTCAGCTGAGCTATTTGTCCAGGTGTCAGTACTAACCCACCTAACTGTGGAAAGTGAGAGAGTGAGCGGGGTGGTTTTGTGTGATTAGTGACTACTATAATAATGTGAACACTTTCAAGTGAAAGTACTTAACCAAAAGTAGATTTTAAAGGTTGACAACCAGGGCTAATTAAACCAAGGCAAGATTTATTATTTACAGAATAGATATGAGATAAGTTGTGGGGAACTAGCACAATACTTACGTCTTCAGAGTCAAGTTGCCGGCCGGGCTCAATGTGCAGAGTCTCTTGTTGTTGTTTGGTTGGAGCTACACTCCCTCCGATCTGAAGGTATTTTAGCTTTAGAGGGGATGAAGTCTACAAATATGATGATGACATTTTGGAGCTATAAACAAACTAATATACTGAGATAAACGGCCAGGTTCAAATTACAAAAAACTAAAAAGGTTGAGCGCCCTTTCAACAAGATAATGAAATAACCCTACCTGAGCAGCTTGGTCGTGAGTGAGAACTAGGTGAGGTTCAGGACTACCTCTGTCTACAGAACATTCCAGAAGAGCTGCAGACTGCTTCTTTAACTGGAACACGTGTTGTAGTCACGAGTTAAGTTGTAGTCACGTGTTAAGTTGTAGTCACGTGTTAAGTTGTAGTCACGTGTTAAGTTGTAGTCACGTGTGTTGATAACAATGGTAGCAAGACTTGGTGTGGACGGAGGATAATTCTTATCAGGTAAAAAGCAATATTTTGAATATAAAATCGAAAAAATGAACCATCGACTCTCCGATTGACTATAATTATAATCAAAATTCCAATCCAGAATCTCAGCACAATTCACCTTCTTGACGATCTTTCCATGTTTCTCAATGCGCTTCACCTTCTTAGCCTTTATCTGCTGGATCTGTTCCTCTGTTAGAGACATCTGTTGTATCTCAATAGGCGTGAGGGTAAGAGGCTCTGCTAGATCTGGGTTTATTAGCGATACGTGTGCTGCTGATACTGCTACCTGAACACAACAGATTAATTATTAATGTTCATTATCAAACCCCCAATATTGTGTGGGTGGGAGAGATTAAACAAATTTACCCTAACCTTAAACAATTTCCTCTCTGAAGAGTTTACTTTCTAAAGTTTTTATCTCGATGCTAAAAAATATTCGTTTTTGCAATCTCCTTTACCAGAGTCTACACTGGGATTTTAGCATTTTCAGAGGCTTATAACCTTCAAACCTGAATTTTAGCGAGCTGCTCTTTCGTTATGGTAGCAGTTTCCGCGGGTGACAAGGTGACAGTTTTTGTCAGTCCCTCCTCCATATCTACCATTGTTGCTATGGCAACGTTCTCGACATACGTTTGAGTTTGTATGGAATTGCTGACCTGAGGATTTGAAACGATATCAATCAGGAGTCTGCAAAGCGGAAATACAAGGCAAGAGTGTTACAACTGAGAATTTGCGTTCAAGCACATTAATAAAAAAAAATACGAATTGTAACTTTACCTTTTTGCTCTGAGATTTTGTGAGAGATTCGTCACAACTCTCATCCACTTTAAGATGTTTTACTTGGTGGGGCAGAAGCGGTAGCTGATCTATGTCACTTACATCTACGAATAACAATAATGTTACACTAAATCTTACCTTACTTAAAGGTATTACTACTGGGGCAACAAGGAAGCTTGATACATTTAAAATCAATGCTCGTCACTTATCCCATCTCAATTCTCATAGCCAAATTTCTTGGTTGGAAAAATACTTCAAGCAAACATTTCATAGACAGAAAAAAGAAAGCTCGGCTTCCTCTCTGTCAACAGTTCCTAAACCTATGTTTGTGAAAGAGTCCTTGTACTCCTTTATAATCTTAGTCTGAACATCAGTTAAAGGAAGGGAGTGTACCAGCTCCGGATCTAACTGGGTCGCTTGTGAGGATGTTAACTGAAAAGAACGTTTGTCTGTACAATAACCAGATCGAAACAGCTGAAAAGTTAATGAACAGTGGATTCTTCAAAAAACAAAGCAGCTCTAAACATCTACTGATACTATAGATAACTAGTTACTTTTACTCTCAAAAATTAAAAATGGAGTTAAAGATAATCTATTCCTTACAGTGACAGTCTGGATGTCTTTTAGTTTGGGATCACTCAGCACACACATAAGCTCGTGTTTCTCCAATAGCTTGCTTACTTGTGTGGCAGTCTGAAATATTATTCAGTACAAAGATTGTTAATATTAAGTCTTCAATATTTGTACAAAACTGTGTTAGAAATACCCGTCCACCCTGTCCCTCAATATTTACCTCATATTGGTCCTCATCCATATCCGCTATCTGATCTTCAGTGAGCCTCAGCTGGGCAACTTGAGCTGGGCTGAGTTTTAGTTCACTAATCTGCTCCAGAGTTAGAGCCTGAAAATACTCGTTTATCAAAACTTCTTACTCATTTATTGTAATTGTTTTGTGAGTTTCTTTATTTCGGTGCAGTGATCGTTGAATCTGATAGTTTGGTTTTAGTGATATCACATAATATTAAGTTACATGTTAATGCAAAGAAATGTTACATTCTCGAGATCCATGATGTATAAAGTAATGTACTGTTGCCTAGAACTGTTCGATCAAAATTCAGATGGATCAGAGTTGGTTGTTTATAGTTTAATTAACTGTAGCGATATAATGTGTAAACTGTTCGTTTGGATCCTTCGCTGCGTTTTAGCTTAAACAGAAAGTCTAATTCATATCTGCCAGTCGCTACTTAAATGAACTTGTATCTTTTTCTTTCCAAAATAACAACACATTAGATACAAGCTATTTTGGCTACGCAGCATGCTGCGCGCGGCCAGTATCTGCTACAGTGAATGAGAGCGCTACTGAACTGCATGCTAATATTTTGTTTGGCGTGTGCGCGCTCCCTATAAGTTTAAGGTGGGCCCATGTACGACAATGCTGATATCCATGCTTGCCGATTGTCGCAGCTCACTCACATATTTAATATAATCATACAGTCCTACCGATTGACTAAAAAGTAAAACGTGGCCTTAACATTATCATATTGATAACAAGTAAGCAATGACGTGTGTGTGTGCGTGTGTGTGTGTGTGTGTGTGTGTGTGTGTGTCACGTTGTGTGTGGGAAGCTTATTTTAGCTTGTTGTGTCATTCATACATTGACATAATATAAATCTAATGGTCACCAATCTATCGTCACTCATAAGTCGTCACAAATCAATCATTTCATTCATTCAGTAATAATCCCAAAATTATTAACGTGTCATCACTAGCAGTTAACCTGGCTGTAAATAGCTGGCCATCAAAAGCTTGGAATTTAATCTACCAGCTGTTTCTCTCAGCTGTGGTATAATTCTTAAAACGTACCTGTGCAGTCTCGGCACCACCACAAGCTTTACTCTGTTCCTTACTGAGAGCCAGGGAACCTAACTGCTTGGACGTCAGGCTCTGAGCTTGATCAAATGTGAGTTTCAACGGTTTGGTTGTTTTGAGCAGGTTCACGTAGGAGAGAAGTTGGTCGTAAGCTAACTTCTCGCATTGTTCATCCAACATCGACAACTGAAATTTGTTGTGAGTTTTGTGAGAGTTCATTGTTTTACTGAACAAAAACAAATAATTTGGATGAAATAAATAATACATGTATTATCTATGTCTCGCTTGTACAATATGATTAAATAAAATAGTTCATACATATTGTCGATGACAAAGAGGGTGTTTATTGTCACTGAACATATATCTTAAAGCTCCTATTATTCTTAAAGCTCCTAATCACTTACCACGCTATCCTGATATGGAGACAGTTCCGCACGTTGCTCCTTAGTAAGGTCCAACTGGGCGATCTGTCCGGCGGAGAGCGCCAGACACGCAACATGGGCTGGAGTCACAGGACCATCGTAGCCCAGGATACGCACTTGGGAGGGGGTTAGCACCAGGTTTGATAGCTGCTTGGAACTCAACTTCTCAGCCTGTCAAGATACGAAGGTGCATATAATGTGGTTATTTAGTTATTATCAGGATATTATGTTGCAAGTGGTGATCATGTTTGCAAAACAGTCCTTTTGTCACCAATACAAACTCACTCCAAGATAAACATGCTCCTGTTCATTGTATTCCATATTAACCGTATCATGCTTGAAATGGTAACCTGCTGAATGCTGAGTTGTATGGAGTAGTCTAACCTTCTGAATGCTGAGTTGTATGGAGTAGTCTAACCTGCTGAATGCTGAGTTGTATGGAGTAGTCTAACCTGCTGAATGCTGAGTTGTATGGAGTAGTCTAACCTGCTGAATGCTGAGTTGTATGGAGTAGTCTAACCTGCTGAATGCTGAGTTGTATGGAGTAGTCTAACCTGCCGAATGATGAGTTGTATGGAGTAGTCTAACCTGCTGAATGCTGAGTTGTATGGAGTAGTCTAACCTGCTGAGTGCTGAGTTGTATGGAGTAGTCTAACCTGCTGAATGCTGAGTTGTATGGAGTAGTCTAACCTGCTGAATGCTGAGTTGTATGGAGTAGTCTAACCTGCTGAATGCTGAGTTGTATGGAGTAGTCTAACCTGCTGAATGCTGAGTTGTATGGAGTTGTCTAACCTGCTGAATGCTGAGTTGTATGGAGTAGTCTAACCTGCTGAATGCTGAGTTGTATGGAGTAGTCTAACCTGCTGAATGCTGAGTTGTATGGAGTAGTCTAACCTGCTGAATGCTGAGTTGTATGGAGTAGTCTAACCTGCTGAATGCTGAGTTGTATGGAGTAGTCTAACCTGCTGAATGCTGAGTTGTATGGAGTAGTCTAACCTGCTGAATGCTGAGTTGTATGGAGTAGTCTAACCTGCTGAATGCTGAGTTGTATGGAGTAGTCGACTGGTTCGTCGTACACTGGCTGGGGAGTGTTTACTGAGGATATGCTCTGAACATCCATAGTTTGGGACATAGTCTCAGAACCCTGACCCTCCGAACCATGGCTCTCAGAATATTGAGATCCTGGCGTCTCTTCTCCTGCTAATTCACCTAATTACTAATTAGTTAATTAATGTGTTAATTGCCAATCTAATTAGAGAATGCCTGTCGATGAAGCTTCAAACAACTTTATATCGCTTGTACATAAGTTAACTTTAAGTTCAAGTTAATATCATGACAATATAAAACCACCATAATATTATTTATCTTTAAAGACTAACCTAAAGGTGATGTTGCTATGGAAACACCGGATATAATGTCTTCTATCCCACCAACAAGAGGCGAAACAGCCCTAAAACAAAATATTGATATTCACTGTAATATCTAGTTTTAAAAGTAAAAAACATTCAGATTTCAGCCATGAATGTTACGTAGTAAGTCGTTAAATTTCATGTCTTTTTAGGCAAAAGAAATGTATGTTCACTTGAGACTCGAGTCTAATCTGGAACATTCAAATGAAAAGTTTCCTCTTTTAACTAACATATCAGAAGTTGTCATGGTAGATAAGGCAATAGTAGAGGATGCAATGGTAGAGGAGGCAATAGTAGAGGAGGTAGAATCAGTCTGTTGGAGTTTCTCATCGTATGATTGTCTCAATGTCTCCAACTCTTCGTTCAGCTTCATCTTCGTCATCTTCTCTTCTTCGTACTTTCTCTGGACAAATTTATATATATACATATTCTTTTTATTTTTATTAGATATAGGATGTAGCCAAGCACAACTTAATTTTAATTTTATTACATATATTATTAATTATATACTTTACGAGTTACGATCCTGTTTGATAATATTGTAGATTCTAGCAGGATGAAGATTAATCACTGTACACTCGAATTATATCAACTATCACGTGATTTACTTTAAAACTTTCTCTAGATGGCCCTGAGGGACAATTCAAACCCCTAACTCTCTACTCCAAACCCAACCCTAACCGTAACCGTAACACAATCCCTAACTGAAGCATATGCTAAAACCCTAACCCTAATGAGAAATTACACCAACTTTCTGTCATGTGATTTCATCTCCAGCAGCTCTATCACATATTATATTAAAAATAGAAAAATGTTGTTTACTTCTACCCATCTCCTCTGGCCAAGTGGCAAGTACCCTATGACATGTGGGGTGGTTCAGAATCAGCGTTCTACTCAATCATCTACTCAATCTGGTTTCAACTGTCGGGGGTCCTTTGAGAAAAACCTAAAAGTTCGAGAGTCGAGTGATTTAGCACGCTTAAATACACGTACGTATAATATTATAATTTTACCCCCGTACTTACCTCACTACTTCACTATGATAACGTGAGTTTCAGGAAAACGGACAAAGAGTAGAACAATCCGATCCAAAAGAATGCTGAATTCCAATGTACTAAGTACATTATGTGAGTTAAGAAATTCTTTGGAATCAGATATCAACATTATCTGCTTTGTCTTTTCGGTATCTTTGACGCCCTGTTTACTAAACGGCATTATAAATACCGTCGCTTTTTTGTTTTTCTCCAGTTAAGCTAAGATGGTAGAGTCGAACAATAAGACTTTATATGGTATAGAAGATCCTAACATCCGGTATTTCTGGGCAGGATACCATCTCGTTGTGTTCATTTCATCTCTAGTGGGGGATACGATAATCCTGGTAGCCTCGATAAAATACAATGCCCTGAAACTCTCACATTTCATCCTGGTAATCATCCAACATATAGCTGTCGCTGATTTGACTTTATCAGTGTTCTACACCTTCCCGGAGATGGTGTCCCTGATTGCAGACGGGTGGATCCTGGGAGATACGTTCTGCTACGTAAGAGATCCTATCTCCTATTATTGTGTCCCAGCCTTGTCACTTTTAGTTTGCTGTATGACTACCGGCAAGTGGATTCAAATAAAATATCCCTTTCGTGCTTGGACCTGGACTAGGGAGCAAGCTCAAAAGACCTGTGCAGCAATTTGGTTATTTTCTCTGATAGCTCCAGGGATCGTCATCGCTGTGGCGAGAAGAGATATCTACTTCGACTACAATATCTACAACTGTGTGTACATACACTTGGGTACTATACAAGACCACGCCCTCCTGATTAATGTTGCTTATGAGGTGTGCCTTGTCATTCCAAATATAGTTATCTTAGCAACCTCCGCCATGCTCTTGGTCGAGGCAAGGAAGAATCTAAGACAAGGAGAGAGTCTGAACTGGGGAGGAGTTTCAACTGTGCTGCTGACAGCTCTCAACTTCAGTCTTGCCGCCTTCCCGACAGTCCTCTTCATACTGTCCAAATATACCATCGGAATTTCATCCTTCTCTGTTGAAATTGAATTTAGGAGAGTTGCAGCTTTCTTGAAGCAGCTCGGCATAATGGCCAACATTTACATTTACACAATGACAGTTCCCAGTTTTAGAGAGTTTCTCAGTTCTAGGATGAGGTTTATAGCACGAGCTCTCTCCCAGCTAGCATCCCATCACACTGAACGGAGACCACTCCTGGAGGAGGACGTGAGAGATTTAGAGTAAAACTTATATAAGGACCAAACGGAGAAATGAGACTCATGATACCCTACAGTCCAGTCCTCGGATTGAACTGCACATTTGACTGAGGCACTGAGTTATGAGTTAGGACAATAAGGGACTGGTATGATGAGGACATATTACATTATCTCAGATTATAAACCGGTTATATAATCTATAATCAGTGATATTCAGGTTCTTTTCAATATTAGCTGCCGTCCTGAGGATACCTAGAAACAACAGATAACAAACACTATAATTAATCAAAAATACCATGTGACTTATTCATTATTGTAATTGAATCAATAATAATTTTCCTTTCGCTTGATTATTTAAAGTTAGTTTATTCGTTTATCATAATAAGTATCAAACAATTTGTTTAGCTGGTCTGAGAAGGAGTTTCATTTTTTATCCCTAGAATTATTATTTGATTGTCTGTGATTAGTATTAAAATGAGTTGATGATTTGAATGGAGATATTATGTTTGTTACTGAAGATGCATTTGAAAGCGTTTAGAATTTAAAATATTTGTGTTAACTGACTCAACCAATGAAATGTCTATCCGGCCCTTTAAATTGAGGAGTTTGAATATGTGGATTGGGCGACATCTGTCCGGCAGCGACATCTGTCCGACTCAGAAAATAGGTTATTTGGACAATAGTTTATGTCGGATCCTACCGTACGATTTTCTTAAAACTTTCCACAAAGTATGTTGGTTATAGGACGAATAATCTGTGTAAGTTTGAGCGAGTTTCTATGTGCCAAGTTTAAGTTATTACCTTAAACACAAAAAATATATCCAATTCGGTTGTTTCAGTGGTTCCAAAGCATATATCTGGAGATCCAACGATACGATTTTCTTGAAAGTTTCTAGATAGTAAGATAGCTTTAAGACAAATAACTTGTGCAAGTTTGGATAAATTTCTATGTGCCAAATTTGAGATATCACTTCAAATACACGAAAATAGTGCTGTCGGACAGATGTCGCTGTCGGACAGATGTCGTGTTACCGAATATGTGTAATTATATCCAAGCGATAATGGGTAAACTACAGAACACGTCCAGATAATAGTAATTGCGGCCTAGGATAATCCTTACATGATGGTTTACTGCAATTCATGATTAATTGTTGCGATATTAGCAATATGGTCAAACAATAAGAAAACCATAATGCTTACTGGCATGGACAATAAGTAACTTGAAGTTGATCAATCTTCGATTTAGATCCCAATTTAGAACGGTATACATTATACATTATACATTATACATTATACATTATACAAGTACATTATACATTATACATTATACAAGTACATTATACAAGTACATTATACAAGTACATTATACAATATACAAGTACATTATACAAGTACATTATACAAGTACATCTTACAAGTACATTATACAAGTACATTGAACCTTTTAATACGGCAAAACTATTTCCACGATGTTGACATGTTTTTTTTACTACAGAAATTTGTGCAGAAACATATCATGTAAGCGATGTGTGATGCATAACACAACCACAAACAATCATACTAAATTACTGTTTTTATTCAGTGAGAAACTGTTCAACTCACTTATCATTATTCAACTGGATTAGTAAATAAGTGTACACAAAACATAATTAATGAAAATTAAGACCTTTATGCGATTATCTATGGTTATACATAGAATTAATGGTCCAAACACTTATTACATGTCAGACTGATAATATCTAAATGACATTTAACCCACACTGCAATACTAACCGTAACAATTGAAGTCAGGATCCAACTACTAGAATAAGATTCAGAATATACAGATTCAGAGTACACGAATTCTTATGAAAGTGATAATAAAATCAGCGAACATACGCATAAAAACGATGCTAAAATGAAGATGCTCTGCTTAAATGCCCATTGCCCGGTCACTGCTTTAAGAAATCTCATTTTCGAGAAGAAATTGACACAATATATCAAAGATATAATGTACTATGCCTTAATGAATCGCATAGTACATTTTGAGGAAGTAACGAACTGATATATTAAAAGACACAATATTAGAGGGGTACTAAGATTGCATTTTCAAAGATTGCATTTTGCTTACACTTATACAGTTCCCGCACTGGGCGGAATAGTGTTTCAAGTCGGCAAATTAATTTTCATAGATAAAATCAACCTTATTATTACTAAATTCTTTAATGAGGTTTTCACTTACATTAAGCTCTGCTATCTGATCTTCATACTCCTGCTTTAACCGTAAATTCTCCTCAGAATCCGTCTCCTTGACGATATACTCAATCTCCTTGGTAACAGTCTGTTGTGACGTCACGCCGTCCACTGACATGGGGATCTTACCCTCCAACATTGCCTTAAGTCGGGATATTTCCTCCGCATACTCTCGGAGCAGTGCGTCCTTGGGATCCTGTGCGACACAATGATTAATAGTAGTAAATAAATTAAATTATCATGTAATTCATCTGACTAAAAAATCAATTAACTCTTTTTAGAAGGAACAAAAAACTACTCCTAATGCTCGAACACTGTACACTGTAACCAATAACCTCATTGATCTTAGGTTTGTTCTTGATGTTCTTGGCCCTGTTAGCGTATCTGAGTGTACTGAGCGTCTCATCATAGTTGTTATCGGCAGGACTTATACACGCCACCATCAGAGTCTTGGTGTTTCCTCCTAACGAGTCCTAGTGAAATGTTAAATGTTACAAGTTTTGAAGTACACAAGCACAACAGAGACTGTTGACAAGTTAAACTTTCGTTTTATCTCAAGCTCATCAAACAGATCTTTGCTGATTAATAAATCTATATTTAATCATAACTTTATCATGCAATTAGCTTGCTTCCGCACCTGTAGAAGCCTGGTAAGCTTACTGTCCCTGTAGGGAATATGTTTTGATTTCCCATCTACCAGAGCCGATATGACATTTCCCAGGGCAGACAAAGACAGGTTTATCTTGGTCGCTTCACGCAGTCTCTCTCCCGTGGCTCCTGGACAAATGATGACAGTGTAAAACGAATAACCTTGTACACGAAATTCGGGGACTTAAAATTTAATTTACGATAAATTGACTAATTATGAAAACTGCGTTAGGTCGGAATTTTTGAACAGCAATGTTGAGATCCTAGTAAAAGGACGCATTCATCTCAGGGGTTTCTTTATTTAAGGGTCAAACCTGTTTTTCCCTGCCGTTCAGACCCAGCCAGATCGACCAGATTTAATTTTCCAACTTTTATCTTCTCTTCGGTAGATGCCTCATCAGGTTCACACATCTCTATTCGTATTGCAAATATTGAATGTGACCTGCAGATATGTTTAAATATATATAATATATATAAGCATTAAATTTATAAATACATTAAGGGATAATACGGCCTTAAAATTATTGAAGGCGAGGAAAGACTGCAATTTACTCTCCATTCCGACTAAATAACCTTGAAGATTCTGCATTCATCAGAGTAGCTCCAGTGGAACGACTCATCCATCCTTTCTCCATGAGTTTAATACACCCTCCCATAGTTTTAACAATGTGCTGTGTTAGTCCTTGTGTGTAGACTCCTTTATCTGGCGATTCTCTTAGCTCTAATTTCTGTTTTACATCTTTACCTGCAAACAATTTCCAATTTAACCTTACATATTCTATTCTGTCTAGTCCTTAGTAATTATTGAGTACATTGTGTAACTGTAATACATTGCAACTTGAATTCCAGAGGTTTACAAGTTCATCAGCCACCGTAACTCCTGGCAAGTATAACCGTGTTTAGTAGTGGTGGGTGTAGGGTGATATGAATGAAATGGAAGTATCCCCACCCAAAAGGTCTCTGATCTCCTCATTGTAAATCTCAAGATAGGAAGCTTGTACAAGGTACTTGGTGTCTGCTTCATCCACATCAATTTGTTCGAAAATATGTTCAAAGGCTCGTGGGATGATGCCTCGCTGTTCTGGAGGATCAGTGATTCCTTGCATAGAGAATGATTTGCCACATCCTGTCTGACCATATGCAAACACTGAAAATAGAAGTTCAGTTTCAGTTCTGAATAAATCCATACATTAATTTTGAAGGGTGGCCCTTAAAAACTAACCATTTGTTAGATTAGAACAGGAATTGTTTAAGATAAACATAATAGTGCAATTAAATTTTTGAGAATGATGGTTGATTTTTTAATTGAAAAACGACCCACACCCTCAAAATACCTGTTCCGTTATATCCCTCTAAGACACCATCCACAAGGGCAAAACCAACATCTTCATAAATTTGTCTGGTTGTACTGTCCACAAAGTAAGCTCCGTCAAATGTAAAGTTTTTAGGCTGTGCACTCTTTTCATCTGGTTTGAAGATAGAGACTTTGTTTGTTGTGTCATCACATTTGATACATGCTTTGCACTTCAAATTGTTCTCTCGTGTGTTCATAGGACGACATCTCACGATAACCTTCACAGACTCTGCCATGCTGAAATAAATTATAATTATGATGAACTGCAGGATGACATAGACTTAACTTCACATTAATACTGGGTCAATAATTACAACAGTCATTAAACAACCTGAGCACTGAAAACGTTATTTCTTTCCTTTGAGCACCAGGTAATACTTTTAGGGTGTCTGTGGATATTGACAACTATACGCCTTCAATAGCCGCCACTGGCTTAACCCATGCATGAAAAGACATGACAAGATCAAAGCAATATCACTGCAGAATAATAATTCTCCAGTCATTAAAATTAGCTAGTCTTTAAGTATGATTAGCAGCTAATTAATTGGTAGATGGCAATGCACTTTGCACAAACACCAAATATTGGGTAGACAGACTATTTAACTATTTAAAGCAGTTTTAATGTCAAACCATGATAAACTTTGTTTTACTGAATGATCATCATTTTGGTACCGAATTCCTCCTACCGATATACCACGTACTACGTAGCTTACTTTTACAAATAAGAAGTAAAGTAATATAAAGTGAATATAATCTTGGGGTGAAATCGGGAGGGACTTCATAAAAATATAGTATCCTGGATAAAACAAAAATGTATTCTTATTTTTAAACTTTAGTAGATATATTTTTGATGATGTGTGATGATGTTTGTGTCATTATATTTTTATTATTTGATTTGATTTGATTTTATTCTGTTATGTAATACTCTGCGAAAGTAAAATCATCTTTATAGAAATATAAAATTCGATTTATTGATTTAACATAAACTAATACAACTAAGGACATAGGGGTGCCATAGTGCAAAGAAACTGCTGCTAATTGCTGCTAACTGTTTATATAACTTACCAAAACGCGCACCGAGGCCGAGTGAGACTTTTCGACGCGATGGTTTTGAATAATAATAAATTCAATATTTGAACCAAATATTTTACGAGTCACGAGTATCACACGTTAATCTTGTAGCGCGATGCGTTACTGTGCCGCGCACGCACTCAATGAGGCTTCTCTCGCTAGATCGGCGAAATGCACTACTGTGCCTCGCTGAGCTGCGATGAATTGACATTGTCATGTAACCGTTAATCTTGGAGGACTTCGCCGCTTCGACGCCGCGCAAACTAGCAATCTTGCTTCGCTTTGAAGCATCAAAGCATCATCGTCGTCGATCGTTGCTCTGCTTCGCAGAGCAACGATCTCAGCTCGACGGATTGACATCGTCAATCAACCGTTAATCTATTTAAATATTTTGAAAATTAATAAAATTAATGTAGCATGTAACTTGACAAAATTTTTAATAATTTTTTAATCTGTATCAACCCAGTTTAACAATTAATTTTACTCGTTTAAATTTTGCGTATTTCTTCGAAGTAATATAACGCTTGTCACTAATTTCGTCTCGAAATGTTAGCCCGAGGTGGTAAGTGCTACGATATAGCAAAAGACTCCCGGTTTTCTTGCAAAATATTCACTGCACTGTGTGTAAAAATAAAATTTCCTACTATACCCGGCCATGTTACTGGGCCGCGCTCAGCCTGTCATTCCGCCTAATCTGTTGTTTGTTATGAACATAATAGCCTGAGGTCCCCAAGTAATACCCCATGATAAAACGGAAAATTTGAGACAACGTAGATTTTGAGTTATCTCAAAATATCCAGAAAAGTCTCACTTTGGGCTTGCTCTAACCAGAGCCCTTTCGCTTGCAGTAGCGCGCGACCGCCGAAGGCGGAAAATCTACTTGTGAAACAAGCGCGTCACGCAGTACGCGTAGACACATGGCTATATGAACTTTGGGCCGATCAAAAGTTTTCAACTTTAACTTTGCAGATTCCTGTCCTCTCCAGTGGCGTAACGTTACTTTTTGGCGCCCCCCCGCTCAACTCAAAAAGCGCACCCCTTTCTGGAGCGCGCTCGCTTCGCTCGCTAGATTTGTCCGAGGGCCGTTGCCATCACAATTTTTTAATTTTAAAACGGAATATAAATGTGTGCCAATAAAATTTAAATTTGGAAAGTAAGAAGCCGCGCGCAAATAATTTTACATGTAAGCCGCGCGATTTAGTAATTAAATCGCCAGTAATTTGCGCATGATTGTTTTCGCGTTGGATAAAATATTATCTCGTGATACATGTTAACGGTTGTGATTGGACTATGCAGAGGGACGACGCGTTAGGGTAATAATAAATGTATCATGTACTGGACACTAATCATGCTATACTAATGACAAGTCGGTTACACAATGTCAGAATCTTGTTCGCTTTTCATTGTCGTTTGACATTAGACATTACATCCGAAACAGCCCGCAGCCGTTAAGTAATTTGTCATTCGTCTGATTAGTGATGTTACTGTTAATTTGTGATAAACAACGAAACAATTTTGTGAATTGTGTGTATTATATATTGTTAGTGTAACGAGGATAACTGTTTTAAAATTTAAGCTGCTGTATATGTTACAAAAATGTATATTATATTAAGGTTACCGGTTGTTCATGTAAATTGTAATCATCAATGGGCCATGGGGTAAAATATCAAATATGCCGTACTAAGTTTACGCGAACATTTAACATGACTAACACAGTCACTCAAATTTTAGAATTATGACTATTACCCTAGTTCTCTAAAATCCTTATAGTTTTGGCTATCATCCTAACTAAAGGAATAGCTGATTGGATGTACAGTGCTCACGTCATGATTTTAAACAGTGGTATAGGTTCTTGAACAGTGGTGGATGAATGTACGGTTAGAAAGTTTCTGCTATTACAACTTATGTCATATGTGATAATTTTGGATTGTTTTCATTGCTTAATTACACAAGCAGGGAGCTGGGAGACTGTTACCGTGAGTATTTAAACATTTGCAGGTTCATTTCCATAAATGTCCATCAATGACTGGACTACACAACTTTACAGTTAACTTTAGAGAAACTCATAAGTCATTTATCTCAAATTAAGCTGTTAGTGTCCATGATCAACCTGTGGCGACAATGAGTAATATAAAAAGTGTATTTGTAGATTAAAGTGCTAGCTCAGAGTTTTAGAATTGTATGGATTAAAGTTGGTTGTTTAGCCATCTAACAATCGATCGTGCTGTAATATATGGCCAGAGAATAATAGGGTCTTGGAAATTCTATAGTTGTTCTGAATTGAGCATGACCTGCAAGTCTGGGCCTTCGTTGGGTGATCTTTGAGCTGACTTTGAGAAGTTCACTGTACAGGCTGTGGTTGCTGACATGGTCTCGATATTGATTGATGTTAAGGGCCATTCATAACATTCGCGAATAACAACCATCAACCATCTTCCCAGCCTTTTCGTCAAAGTCTCGGAACCGTACAAAAACACACACTCGACAAGTGCTGTAAACACTCTGATCTTGATAGACTTCCTAAGCTTATACCTTTTTTTCTGCGTGTGTGGCATGCTCCCCATGCTCTTGATTTCCCAACCCTGATATCACTCTCACTATCTCTGATTCTGGATCCCAGATAGATGAAGTCTTCGGTCTTCCACATGCTCTATTGTACTGTTACCCAGGGACTTGATGGAATCAGGGTTCTCGATGTTCTGAGTAATGAATTTGGTCGGGACTGGTAATAAATATCATTAAACTGCTGTTTAACTAATTGAAGGTAAGGTACAATATCGTTGCACAGTGTTTGTGATGGTGACCTTATATATTATACAATTGAAAAGTGCGTGTGTGAGCTGTACTCACTGTACTGATTGTCCATTATCTAATGCTATTAGCGAGTTTTTATGCTAGTATGGTTGTTACCAGATGATGATGTTAAACATTTAAATGTATACTTTTCTATTTATTGGTAGTTGTTCAAATGATTATTGTTATTTGTTAGAACTTGCAGTTGTAGCCGACTTTGTTTTGCTGCCAGAAGTAGTAATGATTTGAAATGGCTGTTGTATGGTGTCACAACTAGTAACTACAAAGAGTGACCTATTTTTGTAGGAATTGTTTCCGTACGTTTAAAAAAATGTATTAATGAACAAACCTTTACATTAATGAAATTCCCGGATATAGCATGTGTTTATATGAACTACATGCCGAATGCCGATATGTGTGGAGTGTGGCTGCTCAATGTATATGCAGAGTTGGGATGTGACTGAAAACATTGAAGTAAGTATTAAGGTTTATTTTGAATCATGTAAATAGCTTTAATATTGTGGCATCTGTGGAGTTATGTTAGGTATTATGCCATGTGGTGAAATTTGTAGAAGGAAGTGGTTTACAAATTTATTTGTAAATTAACATCAAATTTCCCAAATCAGGTTTCGTTACGGTTGGAAGATGTCATGTACATAGTACATACTAAGCAAAATGTGGAGTCAATTGTACGCTGACGAAAGCTGCAAAACAACTGAGCCAGCTCCACAAGCACGACCTGACTGAAGAATTAAATCTTTCGCTACGTAGCTTGTCAGCCTTCAAGTTGATTTTGGTGCCAATCTGAATAACTGTACAGGCCCCAGCGACCCAGCAACTGGCAACACTGTACTCAGAGGTAGTAACAGCACTGGCACTTTATCTCACTATCTCGGTTACAGTAGGTCTTAAGACAGTCTATATTTCACCAAATAGAACTCCCGAAGAACTTATCAGCCGTCAGAAACTCGTTACCGAACTAAAGAAGAAGCGATTTCATACGGAAGGGTGAAATAGTGAAGGCTGATAAATGAACTTGAAGATTTTGTATCGTGTGAAATGTTTTGTCTGTGCATTTACGAGTGTGCCTCTCGATTTATCATATATTTTGACCACAGCTTACAATTCATGATTTGCTTTTAATTTTGTTATATTGAGTATCACAGATCACATTTCATTCTTGCTTGAAGGGCCCATCTTTTGCGAGCGTGACTTGTCATGCATTCATCGTGTTTTGGTGTCCCGTCATTATTTACAGACGGAAGCATGTTTTTACCAGTTTTATTTTCTGATCGATTTATTGCTGTTCTGTAAATTTTGAAAAGATTTTCATAAAAAAAAAGCCAGTACTGAAAAATCCTTTAGCAAACTGAAGCTATTTAAA